ATCTCCTCTCGGTCCTTCGTCGTCCCCCCTGACCTTGTCGCCACGCCCCGCAGCGAGTGCGACCGTCGGCACCATCGAGGTGCGCAGCCTCGTCGAGCCGTTGCGCAAGATCATCGCTCGCGTCTCGGGCCACTTCCTCAACGCTCGGTGAGTCGCCAGTCGCTCGCTCGAGATCTTGAGGGACGCTCTCGCCTGCGGGGCGAAGGCCGATCCTCTTCCTGCCCGCCGAGCCTCACCGTCTCGCGCCCCTTGCGCAGCGCCGTCGACGTCGACTTTTCCGCGCGCCTGCTCGAGGTCGCGTGCAAGGACGAGGACAACTTCTACGTCCCGTACGACAAGCTCGTCATCGCGTGCGGCTCGGTCAACTCGACCCACGGCGTGCCCGGCCTCGAGCACTGCTTCCAGCTCAAGACGGTTCAGGACGCCCAGGCCATCCGCCGTCGCGTCATGGACAACCTCGAGAAGGCCGCCCTGCCCTCGACCGACCACGACGAGCGCAAAAAGCTCCTCAGCTTTGTCGTCTGCGGCGGCGGGCCCACCGGCGTCGAGTTCGCGAGCGAGCTGTGGGAGATGGTTAACGAGGACGTCACCGCCTGTACGCCTCCCTCTCTCTCTCTCTCTCCATCGTCTGTGCCCGGTCCGTTACTCGCGTCCTGACTCGCTCTCCCCGTCCTTCCCCTCGTCTCCCTCTGCAACCCTCCCTCTCACTCTACGTCTCCCTGTTCCTGCCGCGACCTGCAGACATGCCTCAAGTTCTCCGAGACAACCTCAGCGTCCACATCATCCAGTCGCGCGACCACATCCTCAACACGTACGCCGAGAAGATCTCCGAGTACGCCGAGGAGCGCTTCCGCCGCAACGAGATCGACCTCATCACCAACGCCCGCGTCAAGGAGGTCCACGGCGACAAGGTCGTCTACACGGTCAAGGACCCCAAGACGGGCGCGACGAGCGAGAAGGAGATCGACTGCGGCTTCACCCTCTGGAGCACTGGCATCGGTGCGCACGCGCCCCTCGCTCTCTCTTTCGCCTCTTTCCTCGAGCGCCCGGACCTGACCCTCCCTCGCCCTCCCCGCGCGACAGCCATGAACCCGTTCACGCAGCGCGTCGCGTCGCTCCTCCCGAACCAGTACCACAAGCACGCGCTCGAGGTCGACTCGCACCTGCGCGTCCTCGGCGCGCCCCTCGGCACCGTGTACGCCCTCGGCGACTGCGCGACGATCGAGACGCGCCTCGTCGACCACCTGCTCGAGTTTGTCGAGCGCTGCGACGAGGACAAGAACGGCGAGATCGACCGCAAGGAGTTTGAAAAGATGATGGGCGTGCGTCCTCGCGTCCTCCTCGGTCTTGGTCGACCTCCTGCCGCTCTCAAGTGCGGTGAACTGACCTCTTTCGTGAGCTTGTCGACACACAGTACGTCAAGCGCAAGTTCCCGGCGTCCGAGAAGCACTTCAACAAGATCCAGTGCGTCCTCCTCCGTTCCCCCTCCTCTCTCTCGCCTCGCCAACGGCAACTTCCCTGACGCACCTCGCTCTCTCGCAGGGACATCTTTGAGCAGTACAAGCGCGGCAACGGCACCCTCGGCATGAACGAGCTCGCCGACCTCTTCATCAACGTCTCGAAGAAGATCACGGCGCTCCCAGCGACGGCCCAGGTCGCGTCGCAGCAGGGCGCCTACCTCGGCAAGAAGTTTGCCAAGATCGGCCGCCAGGAGCTCGACGAGACGGCGCTGCGCAACGGCGTGTACGACGACCCGGACGACATGCTCGCCGAGCCCTTCAAGTACACGCACCTCGGCTCGCTCGCATACATTGTGCGCCCCCTCTCTCTCCCTCTCTCTTCCTCCGTCTCTGCGACGAGCGTCACTGACCTGATCCCCTCCTCGCCCCGTCGACAGGGCAACGTGCGTCCGCTCCCTCGCCCTCAGCCACTTTCGCCCTTCGACGTCGTCGCCGAGCCGCACGCTAACTTGCCTCCTTCTCTCGCAGGCTGCCGTGTTCGACCTCGGACCCTTCTCGTTCGCCGGCGACCTGTGGGCGGCCTACCTGTGGCGGGTGCGTCCCCTCTTTTCCCTGTCTTGTCCTCACTCTCGCGCGATCGTCGAGCTCACTGCCTCTCTCGCCCGCCTCGCAGTGCGCCTACCTGAACGAGGCTGTGAGCCTGCGTCAACGCTGCATGTTCCTCATCAACTGGATCCAGCGTTCGCTCTTTGGCCGCGACTTGAGCAAGGTGCGTCCTCCTCCCTCTCGCCTCCTCTCTCGTTCTCCTTCGTCGCTCACTGTCACCTCGTGCCCGCAGTTCTGAGCTCGTCGGCCTTGATTCTCGACCCGTCTCGCCTCGTCCGCGCTCTGTCCATAGCCCGTCTCGCGCCCGCTCTGTCCCCCTCCCTCTTCTCCCTCGCCGTGCTGCAAAAGCCGCCACACCTTGGCATTGTCGTAGCCTTGCAATCATAGACTATATGTGCCGTGCCCGTGCTCGTTCCATCGTCGTCGTTGAGAGCGACTCCCACAAGTCCGCGGACCCCGCATTCTCATCGCTCGCCCCGGTCGAGCTCGCCTCCTGCTTGACCCCACCTCGCTCCACCCACACCCGCTTGCGCCTGTGAGCACGCATGTCTGCGCACGACAGCTACTCGTCCGACAGCGGCAGCGACAGCGACGACGCGCCCGAGGTCGTCAGTCTCAGCGCCGCCCGCCAGGGCACCAAGGCCGACCAGCGGCGACGACTCGAGGAGCAGCAGCGGTGCGTCCCCTCTTCCCCTGGACAGCTCTCTCTCTCTACGTGTTGCACAGCTGACCTGGCTGCCGCACCCACGACCGCAGGCTCAACCGCGCCAAGAAGAGCGCAGGGCGGGAGCGCGCGGCGGCGTCGTCGAGGAAGGGCAAGGGCCGGGCAGCAGAGGAGGACGAGGACGAGGAGGCGCATGACGATGACGAGGACCTCGAGGAGGACGGCGAGGAGCTCGGCGCCGCAGAGGAGGAGCTCGAGGACGACGCCGCGCCCGCACCTGTCGCGCCGCAGGGCACCAAGACGACCTACCTCGACGACTCGCTGTTTGCCGACGCCGCGGCGCACTACGAGGCGGGCAAGCACGAGCCGGCGCCGGGGCAGGGCAAGAAGGCGGCCAAGCGGAGGGTCAAGGAGGAGCGGCAGCGCAGGCGCGAGGAGGCGGAGCGCAGGGCGGGCGAGGTCGGCGTTGGCGGCAAGACTCAAGTCGGGTGCGTCCCCCTTTTCTCTACGCGGTCCTTTGACGGTGGACCCCGGCTTGGTGCCGCACGCTGACACTTGCGCTTCGCCGCGCTCGTCCGCAGCGACCTCACGCTTCAGCACCTCCCGACCGTCGCGCACGGCCCGGCCTCGCTGTCGTCGACGGCGCTCCCGTCGCACACGTCGGCGACCAAGTTCCTCACGTCGCGCCTGTACAGCAAGAAGCGCCAGGTGGCCGTGCTCGACGCCGGCCGCGCCGACGCCTCGCAGCCGCGCAACCCGAAGAAGAGCAAGGGCATGAGCTTCGAGAGCAAGGTGCTCCTCGGCCTCGCCGACCCGGAGGACGCCAACGTCGAGAAGGACAAGGAGCGCAAGCGCAAGAAGGCGCTGCTGCTCCAGGCCGAGGGCACGAGGAAGTCGGGTGCGTCCTCTCCCTCTGCTCCCCTCGCACGCGCACGAGCAGGAGCGAGCCGACCTGACTCTCGAACCCTCTCCCTCTCTCCTGCAGCTGCAACTGCTCGCCCACTCGCGTCGGCTCGGCGAGGCGCCCAGCCGGCCAACAACTTTGCCCAGTCGTCGTTTCGCGGTTGAGCCTCGCCTCGTCAGCGCCGCCTCTAGTCCCCTTCCTCGGTGACCTGTTGTATTGCACTGGTTCTTCCTCTCCCTCGTGCACTTTCGGCCCGGCGGTGAGCTGCGTGAGCGCCGAGCGAGACTGCTCGACGACGGCGACTTGAACTGCAGAGGCTGGCTCGAGCAGATGGAGCGGGACAGCGATGTCGCCGGGGCAACTGAGAGCTCTCCGCTGCTTCTGCGACCCGTACAGCGAGAACGACGCGCAGCTCGGAGCCGGCGTCGACGGCGGCCCGATCAAGTCTAAGGTGGTCGCTCGTCGCCGTCCCTCAACCTCGCCCTCCCGTCCTGTTGCTCGCATGCTGAGCTCAGCACGAGGACTTGGGCTCGTCGGAGGCCGCAGTGCCGCTAGTCGGACTGCCTGGCGACCTGGTGCGTCCCCCAACCTCTCCCTCTCGTCTGGCGCGTCATGGAGCGAGATCAAGGCGGGCACCAGCTCTGTGCGCGAGAGACGGCCCTGTGCAGCAGTACTTGTACCCCTGGACACGCCCTGTGCGGTGGCGGCTCGCACGCACAGCCTGGGTGAGCCCTCGACTGACCTCGTCCTCGTCCTCCTGCCGCAGATCGTCTCGCCTTTCACTCCAAGGCGGCCTTTGCCCGAGCGCCACCTGCACCGAGACGAGTCGTCTACCCGTCCACGCGCTCGCTGTCCCTCTCCGCACCTCGCCTTCAGGCGCCAGCCCCCACACCCGCCGCACCTGCCGACCGTCCGACCTCGTCGCCAACATCGCCGACCAACAAGCCGCCTTCGTTCGCCCGCAAGCCCCGAGTCGACCCTCGCCTCGCTCAGCTCCAGCGCGACATCCTCCGCGTCGTGCGGCGACGCCTGCCCCGGCCAAAGACCCGGCGACAGCGCGTCCTCCTCGGCCTCGTCGTCACCCTCGCCGCCCTCTTTGCCGCCTACGAGCTCAGCACGACCGTCCAGCACGGCGTCATTGCCGTCGAGCGATGCACCGTCATCGCCTGGGCCGTCACGCGCGGCGTCATGGACTACAAGGCCCTGTTCCGCAAGACGTGGGACGAGACGGACGAGGGTTACGCCCAGCGCCACAACGACTACGAGGAGACGCACCGCAAGGCGGCGACGAGGCTCATGGAGGCCATGCGCAAGCTCGGCGGCATCTACATCAAGGTCCGTCCCCTCGTCCTCCTCCCCCGCGCACTCGCCCTTCCTCTCCCCGGCCACATTCAGCGGCTGACCCCCACCTTGCCCCGCAACAGCTCGGCCAACACCTGTCGACGGTCCAGCTCGTGCCGCTCCCGTGGTCGCAGGCGATGAAGCCGCTCCAGGACCAGTGCTTCCCGACGCCGCTCGAGGCTCTCCAGGAGCTGTTCCTCGCCGAGACGGGCGCGCCCATGAGCTTCTTCTTCAGCAGCTTCGACCCGGAGCCGATCGGCGTCGCGAGCCTGGCCCAAGTGCACCGCGCCGTCGACCGCGAGAGCGGCCGCCTCGTGGCCGTCAAGTGCATGCATCCCGACATCGAGGAGTGCGTCCTCTCTCTCTCTCTCTCTTTTCAGCCTACCTCGCGCGTAAGCTCACCCTCCTCGACCCTCGCGCCAGGTTCTCGGCGATCGACATGCGCACCACGACGTTCCTTCTGCGCATCGTCAAGCGCGTCTTCCCCGAGTTCGAGTTCACGTGGCTCGGCGAGGAGATGGAGGCCAACCTGCCGCTCGAGATGGACTTCCGTGCGTCCCACTCTCTCTATCTCAGTCTCCCTCGCCGCCGGCCTGACCTCTCGGTGCAACCCGCAGGCCACGAGGCGGCAAACGCGGCTCGCTGCGTCAAGGACTTTAGCTCGCTCGAGAAGACGACGTTCGTCATCCCCGACGTCCTGTGGGCCAAGAAGCGCGTCATGGTCATGGAATGTGCGTCCCGAGCAATCTGTCTTTGCCCTCAAACCTGACCTGACCGCCTCGTGTCGTCCGCAGTCATCAAGGGTGCTCGCGTCGACGACCTCGACTACCTCGCTCGCCACAAGATCGACCGCAACCTCGTCAGCCGCGAGATCGCCGAGATCACGTCGCGCATGATCTACATCACCGGTGCGTCCTCGCTCTCTCGCTGCCCAAAGTGCTCGTTTTTGAGAAGGTCCCTCGCCGACTCACCTTTCGTCCCTCTGCAGGCTTCTTCCACGGCGACCTGCATGCCGGCAACCTCCTTATCCGCCCCGCACAGCCCAACACGCGCTCGCCGTACAACTTCGAGGTCGTGCTCCTCGACCACGGCCTGTACTTTGACCTGCCGACCGACCTGCGCGTCAACTACGCCCGGTTCTGGCTCTCGCTCATGGCGCGCCCGTCGCCCGCCGTCGAGCTCGAGCGCCGTCGGTACGCCAAGCTCGTCGCCAACATCTCGGACGAGGGCTACGTCCTGTTCGTCACGGCCATCTCGGGTCGGGCGGCGGTTGACGGCGTCGACGCCGACGGGACGGGTCGCCAGAGCATGCTCGAGATGGGCGCCAACACGGACGAGGAGAAGAAGAAGGTGCGCAAGGCCATGGTGCAGCAGGAGGGCCTGCTCCCGCAGCTCTTTGCGCTCTTGCGCACCATGCCGCGCAAGTTGGTCATGCTCTTCAAGGTGCGCCTCGCCCGTCTCGCTCTCTCTCTCTCTCTCTCGTCCCTCTTTCTCGATGTACTCACCTCTGATCTCTCGTCGCAGGTGAACGACCTGAACCGAGCGCTCGACCTCGCGCTGCAGACGACGCACTCGCCCGTCCGCGTCTTCCTCATCCTCGCCGAGTACTGCAACCTCGCCATCCGCCTCGACGACCTCGACCACATGCCGCCGCTCTCGTTCGGCGACCGGCTCTCGTCGTGGTGGCGCTTCCAGAGCTGGAAGTGGACGCTCAAGATGTGGACGGTCGGCGCCGACGCCAAGTACGCGCTCGAGCGTTGGCGAGGGCGGGCGAGCAAGGAGCTCACGATCGACTTGTAGCGAGCAGAGACGCAGACAGCGTGTAACTCAGTTTCATCGCGATACTCGCGCCGCCCGACCGAGCGCACAGCTACTCAGGGCCGAAGCGCCGCTCGTTCGACCTGGACGGCTCGTGCTGCACCTCGTCTGCCGAGGCCCTCCTGCGCCTGTGCTACACGCCGCCGCGCTCGTCGACGCCAGCGAGCCACTCGCCGACGTGGTCGCGCTCCGAGTCGCGGTCGCGCTCTTCTTGCTGCCACGCCGCCTCGTCGAGCTGCTTCTTGGTGCCCTTGGTCGCCGGCTCGCCGCTCGAAGACGACTTGAAGACGTTCAGAATCTTGTCGCGGAGGGCGTGGCGCGTCTTGGGCTCGAATGCGTCGTTCGGGTCGCCGCCGTTGCGGATGCGCTCTGCGAAGGGCTCGAGCGGGTCAGCTTCGCGCCCATCTGGGCCAAGCGGACACGGGACAACGAGGACGCACCCTTTTCACGCTTCTCGCGCTCGAGGATGTCGCGCTGCTTGAGGCTCTCGACGGCCCTCGCGCGCTCGTCTCTGCGCAGCTGGGAGAACGCCTTCCGCTCGGACCGAGTGCGCTGCGGCGGCCGCTCCTTGGACGTACCGTCGACCCTCGACATACTCACGATCGAGCTCGGGTCCATGTCGGCGAACGAGCCGGGCGTCGACGAGCGGGGAGCTGGAGGAAAGAGCTGAGGAGGAGGGGAAAGCGTGTCCAGCTCGAGCGGCAGCAGACGCACGGCCTCCGCGAGCGTGGGGGTCCCAAGTCCGCGGATCGTCCGGGGACAGTGCGCAGTCGCACGCATGAGAGCGACGGCAGCCCGGGCCGAGGTCGAGGACTGACGCTGTCCAAGGCCCGAGCGTCGAGGCAGTGCTCGTCTCGCGAGCGATCGCGAAAGCTCTCAGCGCAGCATAGTTAGAGAGCTCTGACGAGGCACAGCGACGCGAGCGCAGAATCGAGGGCGTGCGAAGCTCGTGGAGGATCGCGTCGCGAAGAGCAACCCGGTCTGAGGTGACGAGGGGGAGCGAGGACGAGAGGAGACTTGCCTGTGAGCAGCTTGCGCGCAAGTCTGAGCGTGGGCCGAAGCTCGCTCGTGGTGCCGCCGCGCCGCGCAGTCGGGGCGTCGCTGGCCGTCGGCGACGAGGAGGATGTGGCCGCGAGCGGAGGAGGAGGAGGAGGGGAGGGCGCAGCACAGCACTTGGAGCGCAGAGCGCAGGGCTTTTTCGTGCGCCTGCCGAGCGGTGCGAGGCTTGCAGCGGTGCGTTTGAGCTAGGGAGAGGGTCGCCGCCGTCTCCGTCGTCGTCGTCGTCTCGGGCTGGCACCGCCTCTGGGCTGAGTCCACTCCAACCACTCGCTCTCGCTGTGCTGTGCAGCCGAGTAGCTCAACTCGCTCAACAGGTGCGCACTGCCCGTCCACCCGTCTCGCCCCCTCCCCCTCCCGCGCCCGTCCCTCGCACTCTCATCACCTCGGCCGTTCCCACCCTCGACCGACGGTCACCTGGGCTGGGTTCGGCTCGAGCGGGATCCGTGCCGACTCGGTACAGGGCTCAGGTGCGCGGCTCGGCAGCCGGCTCAGTCGAGGTGGGCTCGAGAGATCGCGCTCGGCGGCGCATCCTCGGGCATGGCGAAACGCGACGGCCAGTGCCGTGCTCAGGCTCGCGAGGGTCGACAGGGCCGGTGCAGGTGGACTTGGACACTCGCAGGAGCACAGGGTCCCACAGCCGTCGACCGCGCCGCCGTCCACCTCGCTGACCTCTGTTTGCCTCCCGCCTCTCGTCGTCTGGCAGCCCGCATCCCTCTACACACCTCACCCGCCGCCCGTCCAGCTCTCGCCCGCCCACCATGGGCCTCTTTCGCCGCCGTGCGCAGACCGACGAGGAGGTGCTCAAGCAGCAGGAGAAGAAGGAGAAGGTCCCCTTCCTCAAGCGACCCGCCAGTGCGTCCTCTCGCCGCCCTCCCACTCCAGTGACTGCCTTGACGAGCTTACGCACTCTCGCGAAACAGACACGGCCTTCAAGCAGCAGCGCCTCAAGGCCTGGCAGCCGATCCTCACGCCCGCAACCGTCCTCCCCACCTTCTTCCTCGTCGGCATAATCTTTGTCCCTCTCGGCGGCGTCCTGTTGTGGGGCAGCAACCAGGTGCGTCCTCCTTCGTCATTCTTCCCATGCATGTGCGCCGAACCAGCCGGCATCATCGTCGCGCTGGTCGGTCGCGGCGCGCGCTCTCGCCGGGTGAGCTCGCGGCGGCGTGGCCAGGTCGCTGAATAACTCGTCTGCCCCCACACGCCCAGGTCAAGGAGTTCAGCATCGACTACACGCAGTGCCAGAACTCGGCGCCGAGCGACTCGTTCGCCCAGCTCCCGTCCGACAAGTACTCGTACTCGATCGGCTCGTCGTCGGTCCAGCCGCCGTCGTGGCAGTTCACGTCCGACGACAGCCAGGCCAACGCCGCCGAGCGCAACCTGTGTCGTGTCACCTTTGACCTGCCCGTCGAGCTCAAGAAGCCCGTCTTCATGTACTACAAGCGTGAGCTCCCTCGTCCTCGTCTCAGTACACTTGTTCAAGCTCGCGAGCCCGTACTGAAGCCCCTTCTCGTCGCCTCCCACAGTCACCAACTACTACCAGAACCACCGTCGCTATGTCAAGTCGGTCGACACGGACCAGCTCCGCGGCAGCGCAAGCTCGTACAACTCGATCTCGGGCGGCGACTGCAAGCCGGTCGACGTGCGCGACGGCAAGCCCATCTACCCGTGCGGCCTCATCGCCAACTCGTTCTTCAACGGTGCGCCCCGCTCTCTCTCTCTCTCTTTGCGGCTCGCCCTTTTCGAGGCCACCCTCGCTGACTCGCTTCGACCCCCTCTCCTCCCCTCCCTCCTCGCAGACACGTTCACGCAGCCGATCCTCCTCAACGCCGCCGGCTCGTCGAGCAACGTGACGTACAACATGACCGACAAGGGCATCGCGTGGCCGGGCGAGCACGACAAGTACAAGGTGTCCAAGTACGCCCCGACCGACGTCGTCCCGCCGCCGTACTGGGCCGAGCGGTACCCGAACGGCTACACCGACGAGACGGGCCTGCCCGACCTGAGCACCGACGAGCACTTCCAGGTATGGATGCGCACGGCCGGCCTGCCGACGTTCCGCAAGCTGTACTACCGCAACGACAACGAGGACATGCCCGCCGGCACGTACGAGGTCGACGTCTTCATGAGTGCGTCCTCGCTCATCTTCCATCTGGCGCGCATTGGCGAGCGGCGGCGACTGACCCTCTCGTCCCTCTCGCGCAGACTATCCCGTCGCGCCGTTCGGCGGCACCAAGTCGGTCGTGTTCTCGACCGTGTCGTTCATCGGCGGCAAGAACCCGTTCCTCGGCATCGCCTACATCGCCGTCGGCGGCGTCTGCGTCCTCCTTGGCCTTCTCCTCACGCTCAGGCACCTCATCAAGCCCAGGAAGCTCGGCGACCCACAGGTACGCTCTCTCTCTCTCTTTCTTTCTCTTGAGCCTTGTCCTCTCGAGGCCTGCGACTGACTTTGCGTCTTAACGCTCTCTCTCCTCGCAGTACTTGTCCTGGAACCGTGCCCCGACGCACTGAGCGGCTCGTCCCTGTCCTTTACCCTCAGTAGATCCTCCCCTCCCCATCCGAACGGACCCTCCCCTCCCATCTCGACCTCGCCAGGCCCTTGTCTCTGTGCAACGCGTTGTACGACTCACTCGAACACGTCGATCGTTCCACAAGCCGGGACAGCAGCTCTGGTCGCGCCGCTCAGCCTGCGCTTTACCCGCCTCGCGAGCGCCCGTCTCGCACCTCGGGCCTCATCCTCGCGCTTCGTCCTCCTTCCTCGACCTCGACCTCACCTTCGCCGACGCGTCCCAGGCCCTGTCGCGCTCGCCTCGCATGCCGCTCGGACCTCGCTTCCGATCGTCCGCCAGTCGCCGCCCCGCGGACCCGCCGATGCGGCGACCGGGGTCGACGACCGACCCTGGCTGCACGGTCGTCCTCTCCGCTGTCTCTCGCTTCCGGCGAGCGAGCTCGGTGCGACGCTCGCTGCTTTGAGCTCCGGACTTGGCTCCCGACCTCGTCCTCTCTCGATGCTTCCACCGCTTCTCCCCGCTCCTGCACTCTGCTCGCACGTTCTCTGCCTCGGCCGTACTTGCCCGCATGGGTCGCGGAGCCCACGATCGGGCTCGCGACGCGCTCGCTGCGACGCCCGCCAGGTCAACGTCAAGGTCGACTCGAGTCGGCGAGCCGTCCTCGCCGAGCGCCCTGAGGATGGCTGCCGACTCAAGCGACGCCTACAGCGATGACGATCAACAGCCCACACGGGTGCGTCCAGCTCTCTGTCACCCTCTGCCCCTCGTACCGTCACTGATGCCGCTCGAACCCTCTGCAGCGTCCTCGACTCGCCCTCTCGACCAGGCGCGCTCTTCAAGCCCGCCGTGACGACGACCTGCTGGACGCGAGCGACTCGCCGCTCTCGCCGACCTCGCGGCGCCACTCGTACAGCTCCATCATGCGCTTCGCACGGCCCCAGTCGATCCGGCTCGACCCGTTCTCGCGACCCACAAGATCCTCATCGACACGATCCGCCGGCTCTCGTGGCGCAACGAGTCCTTTGTGCGGTCCTGAGCCAAAGGGCAGGGTACAGGGGAGCGCGACGGCCGGCGCGGTCAACTTTCGGCTCGTCTTCCTCGCGCTGATGCTGCTCGCGACGGCCACCTCTCTCGACAATGTGCGTCCTCAGTTCCTCTACCTCTCTACGTGTCCTCTCTCTGACTTTCCTGCCCGACACAGACAACGGTGTACCAGTACGTCTCGTACGCGACGAGCTCGTTCGACGAGCACTCGACGCTCGGCATCATCCAGACGGCGCAGGCCATCATCATCGCGGTCTCTCGTCCTCTCGTGTCAAAGGTGCGTCCCTTATCTTACTACGAGACGGTACGAGGTCGAACCCTGACAACCTGATCACACAGGAAAGCTTGATCATCGGGCTCGGGTGGTCCTTCCTCATCGCGATTGTGCTCTACTCTGCAGGCTGTGCGTCCTCCTTTCTCTCTCTCTCGCCGTCCATCATAGACTCTGACACCCTCGCCTGACTTGCAGATGCCGTCGTCGCGGCCTCGCCCTCGGTCGCCGTCTACGCGGTCGGGACTTTGGCGGCGCAGCTTGGCAACTCGGCTCTCGTCTCGCTACAGTCGGTGCGTCGACCGAGACGTCGCGCATCTCTTCACCAGTCACTGACAGCTCGATCCGCAGACCGCCATCTTCACGTACTCGGCGTCGCTCGGCAACAACGCGATGCTCAACTCGTTCCTCTCGGTGCCGTACTATGTCACCGGCTGGGTCGCGTCTTTCATCGTCGAGGGCGTTCTCAAAGGAGCGAGCTGGCGTTGGGGCTACGGCATGTGAGTCGTCCCGCAGGCTGAGGAGAGCACGAGCGACGAGATGGTCCGAGACTGACCTTCGCAAGTTGAGCAGGTTCTGCATCATCACCCCGATCCTCATCCTCCCTCTTCTCGTCCTGCTCTTCGTCCATCAGCTCCGGCCACCCACCAGAGCATACTCAGCCTCGGCCCCTCGCCCTCGCACCTCCCCTACCTCGACGACGCCTGCACTTCCGCCGCCGTCGCCGACTCGCTCGATCACGTCCACCAGGCCGCCGCTCGCCCTGCCGTCGCGGTCAGCGATGATCCGTCGACGAGTACAAGCCGTCATGTCGGACGAGACGCACGCAGGGCAGCTTGACGCTGTCGGGCTCGTTCTCCTCGCGGTCGCCCTTGCCGGGCTCCTTCTTCCTTTGTGAGCCCTTGCCTCTCTCTCTATCCTCTTCTCTCATGACTTTTATCGCTTTTCGATAGCTGACGTGTATCCCGTGCAACACCGTCGTCAGCCAGGGCAGCATGGTTTTCTCGTCGCCGCTCTTCTACGCGCCCGTGTGCGTCGGCGCCATTTCGGCCGTCCTCCTCATCTTCAACGAGCGGCGTGCCGCCTGTCCGCTCTTCCCTATGCGCGTCTTCCGCACGAGGCGCACGATCGTGTGCCTGTCGGCGACGGCCCTCAACATGACGAGCTTCTTCCTCCTCCTGACCTTCCAGTACTCGTGTGAGTCCCTCGTCCTCTTTCCTTCCTCTCACGTGTGCTCGACAGCTGAACCCTGCTCGGCCCATACAGTCATCCAGGTCATGTACCCGTCATGGTCGCCACTCGTTCAAGGTTTTTTCGCGTGCGCTCGAGCCTCTCTTTTTCTGCAGGTCCGGCGACTGACTCTCCCTCGTCCTCGCCGGCAGGTTCTCGGAGCAGTTCACCCTCATGGTCGCCCACCTCGCCGTCTCGTTCCCGGTCCGACGCCTCGTCGCTCGGCAGACGGACCTGAAGAAGCGCGGCGAGCTGCTCGAGCCGTCGGGTAAAGCCCTGCTGCGGGCGCCGATGGTGTGTCTACTCGACCCGCTCCTCGTCGGTCGTCCGTCCTGACATTCTTCTCAGCTGTGGACCGCAGCTGGGCACGGCGTGCGCGTCCTCGGCGTCGGTCTAAGTGCGTCTCACTCTCTCCTCGTTCACGCGCCGGATCCTTACTCGCCTTTTCGCGTACAGTGATCTTCTCCCGCGGTCCGAGGTGCGTACGCTACCTTTCCCTGTCCCCAGAACTCTCTCCTGACTCTCTCGTCGCCTGCAGTGGTCCCGTCGTACGCTCGAGCCTCTCGCCCTTCCCAACTCGACCCGCGCTCACGCTCGCCCACGCACGGTCCCGCAGTGGCTTCTTGTCGCGTCTCAGGTCGTCCACGGTCCGTTCCCTTCTCTTTCCTGGCCATCCGCGAAGCGGGGCTGACAGACCGAGCGAGGAACAGGTGCAGGAGGCGCGGTCGCCGGCGTTTTTTGCACTCAAGTTGCCCTTGCGGCGGTACCGACACCTGCAGGTGCGCCTCAGAGCCTTCCTCTCTCCTCTCGAGAATGACAGTCGACGAAGCCGAGACTGGCCCGCAGACTCGACCATGATCTGGGCGCTCATCCTTCTCGTCGGCGACGTCGGGGTCCGTCGCCTCCCTCTCTCTCCCTCCTCCAGCCGCAACTGACTCCCGTCGCCTGTCTCGCAGAATGCTGTCGGTACCGCGTACGTGGCTGTGGCGCCAGACGCCGTCCTGGGCTGACCTCCTCGCCGTCCCCACTCGCCGACAGCCTCTCGACGCTCCTGTGGCAAGATCTTCTTCCGCAACGACTTTCCGCACGCCTCTCCTCGACCCTCTCGCCTGCAGAGGTCAAGGCGATCTTCGAGTCGGCGGAGAAGGCGGCCGAGTACCCGCTCGGGTCGGCGGCGTCGGACGGGATCGTGCGTCCACCTCTCTCTGTCTCTCTTTCCGCCTCGACCGCCGCCTGACCTTGGCCGAGCCCTAACTACCGCCCGCAGGGCGCCGCATACTCCGACGTCATGCGCGTCCTCCTCTACGTCGCCCTCGGGCTCGCCGGGCTCTCGTTCGCCCTCTCGCTCGCCATGGGCCCGGCGTGCGTCGCCGAGCGGGACGATGCGGCGGCTGCGCCAGCTCCGGCCGCCTCGCTCGAGCACCGGCACGAGCGACGCAGCGTCGAGCGTGCCCTGGAGCGGCACAGCTCGGCGCGCTGCAAGAGGGAGAGGGCCGGCGGCGAGGAGGAGGCGAGGTACCTGCAGTGGGCGCGCGAGGCGGCGCACGAGTCGGAGAGCGAGTCAGACGGCGGGTCGGAATGGAGCCAGGAGAAGGTGTAGACGACGCTGCCGCATCGACCAATGTCGTTCCTCTGGCAGGCAGCGCGAGAGAGCGGCGAGCGAGCCTTCGAGACGAGCTCGAGCATGACGAGGCGAGCTGCGGCCCTTGGGAGAGCTCGGGGAGCTGTGCCCAGGCTCAGAGAGTAGCACGGCAGGGTGCGACTAGCCAGTATGGGTCCGCCTGAGGAAGAGAGGAGCGGGGTCGAGGTCGAGAGCGAGCTTCGCCGACGAGGCGAACAAGGGAGCGGCGAGCTCGTCGACCTCCCACCAACCAGGTGCGCACTGCCAGTCCTCGAGTGCACTTGGCGAGCACCACTGACTCTCTTGCACCCGCCTGCCCCCACCCTTGTCCCGCCCGTCGTCCTCGAATCGCCCCTCTGCACCCTCACCTTTCTCGACCCTCATCTCTCGTCGCCTCGTCCTCGCCTCGCACCCACCAGAGCATGGCCAGCCTCAGCTCCCTCATCCAGTCCGTCGTCGACAACGAGACTGGCGGCTTCGGCCCCTCGCCCTCGCACCTCCCCGTCCAGTTCGCCGACATCCCCTACGCCCCCTTCTCCAAGAACGACAAGCTCGGCCGCGTCGTCGACTGGAACCAGGAGGGCGCCGGCACCTCGTCCGGTGGGCCCACTGGCGGCGCCGGTGCGTCCGGCCCGGCCGCAGGCGGCGCAGGCCAGCAGCGCGGCGGCAACAAGTACGGCCGCGAGCCCAAGGAGGCGTTCGGCGCCGCGTCGGCCGGCACGTTCGCCTACTTCCACGACGAGGACGAGGCGTCCTTCTCGGTCGTCGCCGGCGGCGCGTCGGCCAAGAAGCCCGGCCAGGGCCAGGGCGGCGGCCTCGCCGCTCGCCAGGGCAACCGCCAGGGCCAGCAGGGCGGCCGCCCGGGCCAGAACCGCCCGTTCCAGCCGGGTCAGCGCGGCGCGCAGGGCGCCCAGGGGCAGCAGGGTCGCCCGCAGCAGGGGCAGCAGGGCGGGCGGTACCAGAACAACGGCCGCCAGCAGAACGGTCGCTGGAACAACTGGGGCAAGGACGCGCGCGTTCGCGAGCCGTCGGTCCAGGTCCAGAGCGACTGGGTCCCGCTCGAGGACATCGAGTTCTCGCGCCTCGCCAAGCTCCGCCTCGAGGTCGACGTCGACGAGGCTCAGACCCTGTGCGTCCCCTCTCTCATTCTCTCTCCCTCTCGCGCCGCCCTCCTCTGACCTCGTCTCGTCTCGTCCCTCCCCCCTCGCAACAGCTCGAACCATGGCTTCTTGTACGAGTACGACCGCACGTACGACAAGGTCAACACGAAGAACGACAAGCCGCTCCAGGTCGTCGACCGCGTGCGGTACAACCCGACGACGTCCGACGACCCGATCATGCAGGAGTACGCCGCCAAGGACAAGGCGCGCGTGTTTGTCACCGACAGCATCCTGTCGATGCTCATGACGGCGCAGCGCTCGGTCTACCCGTGGGACATCGTCATCACGCGCGACGGCGACAAGCTCTTCATCGACAAGCGCGACGGCGGTCCCTTTGGTGCGTCCCGCTCTCTCTCCCTCCTCTCCCTCTCGATCGTCGCTCGATGAGCTCGACCTGACGAGCTTGCCCGTCGGTGCCACCCGCAGACTACCCGTCGGTCAACGAGAACGCGGCCGACCCTCCTCTCGAGAACGACAAGGACACGCTCAACTCGCCGTCGGCCCTGTCGCTCGAGGCGACCTACATCAACCAGAACTTTGCGTTCCAGGTCGTGCGCGAGGACGCGTCGGCCCGGCACGAGCTCGAGCACCCGAACCCGTTCTACCAGGCCGACATGGAGACCGAGCCGCTCGCGTCGTGCGCGTTCCGGTACCGCAAGTTTGACCTGTCGATCACGGAGGAGGAGGAGGTGCACCTCGTCGTGCGCACCGAGGTCGACGCGTTCACGCAGCCGGCACAAGGCTCGGCCAACGCCGGGTCGGACGAGCCGTCGCTCATCACGATCAAGACGCTCAACGAGTGGGACTCGCGTGCCCAGGGCAGCGGCGGTGCGCCCGACTGGCGCACCAAGCTCGACAGCCAGCGTGGCGCCGTCGTCGCGACCGAGATGAAGAACAACTCGAGCAAGCTCGCTCGTTGGGCCCTGCAGAGCGTCCTTGCCGGCGCCGAGCAGATGAAGATGGGGTGCGTCCTCGCCCTCTTTCTCTCGTACGCGTTCTCGAAAGACGTCGTGACTGACAAGCTCGCCTCGTTGCCGCCTCGCAGCTACGTCTCGCGCGCCAACCCTCGCGACTCGTCCCGGCACACGATCCTCGGCACGCAGTGGTACAAGCCGCGCGAATTCCTCGCGCAGATGAACGTCAACTTGGCCAACGGGTGGGGCATCGTGCGCACGATCGTCGACCTGTGCTTCAAGCAGCCCGAGGGCAAGTTTGTCCTCATGCGCGACCCGATGAACGTGCGTCCTCCTTTTCTCTCGCCCTCTCTTGCCCTCTTGCGCCACGTCGTCCTGACAGTGCGCCCTGTTTCGTCCGCCTCGCAGCCCGTCATCAAGCTGTACCGTGTCCCGATGGACGCGTTCGAGCAGGGCGACGACCTTCTCGACGAGAGCGTGCTCGCGTCGGCCGCCGCGTCGGACAACGGCATCTAGGGGCGCACGAAAAGCGCTCGCCGAGGGTCACGAGGAGGTGGGTGGGTGTGCACGAGGTAGATCGCTGGCTGTAAGAGCATGCTGTCGTCGTCGTTGTCGTTGCGAGCGAGGACCCTCTCGCTGTCCCCTTTTCATGGCCCGCTTCGATGAGCGTGAGCGTGTGATACGGCGAGTCGCAGCAGAGGTCCTGCTCGTGAGAAAGAGAGCGAGAGGGAGACGCTGCAGCCGAGTGTGAGCGTCGGCTCTCAGCTTGGCTCTGGACGCAACTCGATGCGCCGATGAACTCGACACTGCCCTCGCGCCGGGTCGCCGCCTTGCTCGGCGGGTGTGTGCTGCTCTTCGTCGTCCTCGTCTACTCGAGCGGGACCCACAAGGCCTTGTCGTGCGTCGCCTTGTCGTCGTCCTCCTCATCACCCCGCACCTCGTTCCCGGACTCACCCTGCTTGTTGCAACAGCTCGACGCGCCTGTTCCAGCGGCTAGTGTCGGCAGATGGCACCTCGCCGTACGCCCACCACCTCGCCCACCCGTCAGAGGAGCCGACCCTCCCCCTCGTCGCGTCGGTCGCCTCGTTCTCCCGCCTCCCGACTCGGTTCTCGCCCGCCCAAGTCGCCGTGTGCGCCGTCGCCACCCACGAGGAGCAGTTCCTCCCCGAGTGGCTCACCTGGCACCGCCTCGTCGGCGTCGAGCGCTTCTACCTGTTCGACAACGCCCCCTCGGTCCACATGCGCCGCCTCCTGCGCCCCTGGATCCAGGAGGGCAGCGTCGTCCTGTACGAGCTCGGGTACCAAGGTCCGTCTCACCTCGTCCTTGCCTCGCCCCGAGCCTCTCGATCGACCGTACTGACCTCGCCCTCCTGTTCCTCGCAGACGACGTCGAGATCGGGAGCGTGTACCAGAACCACGTCTTGCGCCTGTGCGAGCGAGACGTCCTCCCCGTCGTACCCTGGGCGAGCCACCACGACGTCGACGAGTTCCTCCTCGCCGACGCGCCAGGCTGGACCGCCCCGCTGCCGACCCTCGTCGAGCCCAACTCGTCGACCGAGGCCGGCGTCGACACGGCGCCAGCCCTCACCTGGACCTTTCCTCTTCATGCGCGCTTCGACACGATCCTCGGCGAGGCGACCTGTGTCCCGATCCTGCGCCTGCCCTTCCAGAACTACGGCATCCAGCACCTCAAGCCCAACGAGTCGGTGACCGACCTCCAGACGGTCCGAGACCGAGTCGTGCCCGACTTCCACACCTACGGCAAAGTGCGTCTCGACCATCTCTCTGATAATCGTCGCGATGAGGCACTGACTCTCTCTTCACCTGTCGCAGATCTTCATTCACTCGCGAGGCGAGGGCGGCGAGAAGAACAACGCCGGGTGGATGGGTCCTCGTACGTCCTCCCTCCTCCTCTTCCTCCTCAGCAAAAGGCCGAGACTGACGACGAGCTTTACTGCGCAGATTCGTGTCGCTCGCCGCCGGGCACTGTCGTCCTCGATTCTCAGGGCAAGGACCTCGTCCAAGGGATGACCACCTACCCGTACGCCGGCCTCCCTCTTCCTCAAGAAGGCCTGCTTCTCTTCCGTGCGTCCCTCTTTCGCCCTGTCGTCCGCTCTCGTGCTCTCGGACCCGCCGACTGATCCTGCCGTCGTCCCTCGTGTCCGCAGACTACGTCCAACGCTCGGTCGACGACTGCTACCACAAGTTCAACGTCGTCTCGTCGACGCCGAACGACTGGCGCACGCGCGACGGCCTCGAGGGCTGTGCGCGCAACTACGTGCCGCTCGACGCCGAGCTCGCGAGCCCGGAAAGCGTCGCGCACCTCGAGGCGCTCCCGCAGGGCAAGGAGCTCGTCTCGCGGCCCGACAGCTGGCGGCGCCTCTTTGTGCGCGACACGCGGGCGAGGGACAGTTGGCAAGGGCGCATGACGCGCGCCATCCTCGACGAGTGGCGGCGCGTCGGGGGCGACCAGGCGCGGCGCGAGGGCAGGTGGTACTGGGAGCTCGGCGACGACGCGAGCGACGAGCGCCTAGACGCGCTCGAGGGCATCATCTCGGTCAAGGGCATCGGGCGGGCGTTGCCACCTTAGTAGTTGGGTTCGTCCCCGTGTTGTACTCGCTCGAATTTCCTCTCGTTCTCGCGCGCATGAGGCTCGAGCGCCGTTTCTCTCGGCTCGGCGACGCTCGGCTCCAGAGACTCGGAGAGAGCGTCTGGTTCTCGTACAGTGCCTTGCAGAGCGCTCGACGAAAGCCAACGACCCTCGAGCGAGCAGCTGCAGCGCGCTCCCTCGAACTCGTCGACGGTCGACCTTCCACCGGCCGCCCACCGGCTTTCGACGCTTCTCGTGCGACTTACGCAGCTCGGCGAATTGCCGCAAAAGAGCGCACGGAAAAGGAGCTCCGTCCGCCCACTCGCTTACGCTCCGCCGCATGCGGAACTTCCTCGTTCGGTACCGGCTCACGCGAGAACTTGACAGAGCACAGCTTGGCGGTCGCGCCATTGTCGCTGGTGCAACGGCTTGACCTCGACGACGAACGATGCTCTCTCTCCCTGCTTCATTCCGCACCGCGCTCGCACCTCGTCTCCGCGCTCCGCCCCGCTTCACTCTCCGTCCTCTCCTCAGCGCCCGCACCTTGTGCGCTCTCTCCCTCGTCCTACTCCGCAACGAGCAGAGTCACTGAATCGCTCTCGTGTACCGCGACAGCGCCATGTCTGTCGCCTACGCTGCTCCCGCCACCGGATCCGCCGACTCGGCGTCCTTCCTCGACGCCGTCAAGGCTCGCCGCACCATCTACGCGCTGTCCAAGTCGTCGCCGATCAGCAACGACCGCATCGTCGAGCTCGTCAACTTTGCCGTCAAGCACTGCCCGTCGTCGTTCAACTCGCAGTCGACCCGGGTCGTCGTCGCGCTCGGCGCCCACCACGACCGCACATGGTTGATCGCAAAGGACCAGATCAAGGCCATCGTGCCCGCCGAGAACTGGCCTGCGTCCGAGCAGCGTCTCAACGGCTTCCAGAACGCGTACGGGTGCGTGAGACGCCGTTCCGCCGTCGAGCCGAGCACGCCCTGACCTCGCGCTCTTGCTCCTCGTCACAGCACCGTCCTCCTCTTTGAGGACCAGGCCGTCGTCAAGAGCCTCCAGGAGAACATCCCTGCTTACGCCGAGCACGTGAGTTGTCTCCCTCGAAAGCCCTGCCCGTCAAAAGCGACCGTCCTGACCTGCCGCTCGGACCCGCAGTTCCCGACCTGGAGCGAGCACGCTCACGGCCTCGTCGCGTTCACGATCTGGACCGCACTCGAGGCCGAGGGACTCGGCGCCAACCTGCAGCACTACAACCCGCTCATCGACGCCGACGTCGCCAAGGAGTTCTCGGTCCCCGAGTCGTGGAAGCTCCGGGCGCAGCTCGTGTTCGGCAAGGGCGAGGCGCCGGCGGGCGACAAGGAGTTCAAGCCGCTCGAGGAGCGCGTCAAGGTGTTCCAGTAGACGACCTTTTGCGCTCTGTCGATGATTGTTTCATGTTGTTGAGCCTTTCGTTCGTACGAGCAGCTCGAGGAGAGCCTGAGTGAGCCGATTATGCGAAGACTCTGGTTCTCCCGAGCCAAAGAAATACGAAGAGAGAGCTTGAGCTTTGGTTCTGGGCAAGTACAGCTGCGCGAGAGAACCGAGCCGCAAACGACAAGCGAGCGCAACTTGAGAAGGTCGCGAACGAGAGAAAGGCGAGCTTTCTCGCCGCGCCAGCCACCCAGAGCACTTGACAGTGCCCCACGACCGCGCTCGTGCCGGTCGCTTATCCTTGCCAAGGTGCCCGGCGTGCCTCGCTGCGGCACATCGAGCTATTCGTCGGTCGCCCAAGCTTTCTCTCTCTCTCTCTCGGCGTGCGCGAAAGGCGAAAGGGGAGGCTCGAGCTGAAGTGCATAAAGCTACAAGCAATCACTACATCAAGGAGCACGTCTTGCTACAACCCATGCCGTCTATGAGAGACGAGGAAAGGGGGGGGAACGACGGAACGACCAAGGGGATGCGGGACAGTCGCAGTGTCTAAGAGCCTTACGACGTCATGAGGGGGGATGTCTAGGAGGGAATAAGGGAGGGGAAGGAAGGTGTATGTAGGTCGGGAAATCGTTGCGGGCGTCGCGCTGCGCGTCGCGGGGAATGGGTTGCGAGGAAGAGTGGGAGGGGGCGCGCCGGGCCGTCGACGACGGCGAGGTGCGGCCCTCAGATGCGGTGGCGACAGACGAAAGTTGAAATGGGAGGCGATGAACGAAGAGGCGAGGCGAAGAAGTCGAGGGCAGAGAGGTTTGGCGAGGAGGAAAGGGAAGGGGTGCGGCGGCGAGGGAGGGTACAGGCGAGGCGGGCGTCTTGATGGACGACGAGTCGGCCTCGCAAAGTACTCGCTCACGCAGAGCGAGCGACGACCTCGGCCATGGGCAGGGGCAGCTGCTGCGGGTTGTCGGCGACCGACGCCTGCTGCTCGCGGTCGGCCTTCTCGAGTGAGTCGACCGAGTCGAGCTTCTTGGCTTTCACGCCAAAGTTCTCGTCGACGGTCGTGTTGAGCGGGAGGCCCTTCATGAGAAGCGCGATGAAAAAGCCGAGGCCGGCCTGTTGCGTGAGCGGGGGAGGGGTCAGTGCACGATCAAGGAGAGCGACGACGGCCTCGCCGAGGTCGAGCTCGACAGGCTCGCTCAGGCCGGGCGAGAGAGGGGTAGAGAAAAGAGACGAGGACGCACAAAGGGAATCATGACGATCCAGACGACGCGCAGGGACGCCGCGAACGCCTCGCGGACCTGCATCTTGAGCGGCTCGGCGAGCCCGCGAATGAGCGGGATCGACGCGTACGCGCCCGCCGTACCGCCGGGCACCATGTCGAGGTACTCTTGCGGCAGCTTGTCGGCGAGGACGTTGCTGATGACGGACGAGCCGATCGAGATGCCGAGGACGTTGCCGAAGGTGCGGACGAGCATCTGGAACGACAGGGCCTGGCCGGCGATGCTCGGCGGGAGCGGCGCGAGGATCGGGAAGACGGTGGCGGCGTACAGGACGCCGATGCCGAACGCGCTGATCATTGGCCTGCTCGGAAGGAGATAGAGTCAGTCGACAAACGAAGAACGACGAGCTCGTCGAGCAGTGGCTCGTTGTGCGGCGGCTTGCGCAAAAAGAGAGTGCGAGGGAGAGCGAGACGCACATGAGGACCCATCCCGCAGTCGAGGTCGTCGCCTTAGTGACCGTGAGGACGCCCGGCCCGACCGTGAGCGCGATCCAGCCGATGACGTTGACGCCCTTGTACGACTGGCGCTTCGAGATCCAGATGCCCGAGAGCATCGCCGTCGGCGACACGATGAGGACGACGGGAAGAAAGTCGACGGCCGAGCCAATGGTCGTCGTCGCCTTGGCCGACTGGAAGTAGGCGGGCCTGCAGGAACGAGGAATGTCAGGTTTCGGCGGGACGCGCGGTGGCTCGAGAGAGAATGAGGCCGGGCGCACCAGTAGTAGTAGACGCCCATGGCGACGACGCCGTGCAGGAAAGTCGTGAGGAAGCCGACGAGGCTCGTGCGGTTCATCATGGCGTCGAACGGGACGGTCGGGTGCCTGCAGGAGACGAGCGAGGTCAGGTATCGGTCTCACGAGCTTGACAAGAGAGATAGGAAGACGCACTTGACCCAGTGCTTCTCGACGACGAACCACAGGACGAGCCCGGCTGCGCCACAGACGATGGTCGCGATCACGTAGGCCGACGTCCACGGGTGCAGCTCGCCGCCCGACACGATACCGAGGATGAGAACCGAGATGGACGGGATGAAGATGAGGTTGCCGATCCTGTCGCGGGCGTCGAGCGTCAGATGTGCCGTGCCTTGTCGAGAAGGAGGAAGGGGAGGAAGAGCGGACGCGCCAGTCCATCTTGCCGAGCTTCTCGCGCAGGTCGCCCTCGGGACCTTTGAGCTTCATGAAGAGGAACGTGATGACGAAGCAGGGCACGGCAAGAAGGGCGTTAAACGCGAACAGGTACCGCCAGTTGAAGCCGGCGAACGCGCCGCCGAGGAGTGGACCAGCAGCCGAGGCGACTGACCAGGTAGCCTGCGTAAAGAGGGATCGTCAATATCTGTGCGGGGAGGGATGAAAGAGCGAGAGGAATATCGCAGCTGACGCACCGAGAACGCGCCCTGGTACACTCCTCGCTCGGCGAGCGGGACCATGTCGCTCAGGATGATCTCGACGGCGGCAAAGATGACGCCCGCGCCGGCACCCTGGACGCCTCGGCCGGCGAGCATCGTGTCCATGTTTTGCGCGACGGCGCACACGACGCTGCCGAGCGTGAAGAGGGCGAGGCCGCCGTAGAAGACGGCGCGCCGGCCGAGGATGTAGGCGAGGCCGCCGCTCCACGGGATGACGGCCGCGCTGCATATCATGAAGACGTTGGCGATCCAGGCATAGTCGTCGCCGTTGAGGTCGCGGGCGATGGTCGGGAGCGCGGTCGAGATGGCTGCGGGGCGCGCCAGGAGCAAGAGGTCAGGTGTTGTCGGTGCTTGACGGGTGCGCTTGACGGAGCGGCTGCAGGAGAGTCCGCCGCAGCGGACGCGGTGCTTGTGGCGGGCCTGGCGCGAGGGTTGGCAGAGGAGATGTGGGGAGGAAGGGGCAGGGAGAGAGAGAGAGGAGCGAGAACGCACCAGTCTGCTCGACGGCCGCGTTGAATGTGGCGAGGAGCAGGCACGCAAACACGAGCCAGAAGCGCAGGTCCTTCTTGCCCGCCGTCGCCTGCAGTCCCTCGACGCCCAGCTCGCCCGCCTTGTCCGCCTTGTCGTCGTCGAGCGCGCTGTCGTCCTGCACGGCGACGGTCGCCTGCGAGTCTGTGCGGGTCCGCGTGCGGTGTGCCGGTGCGCCTTCGTGCGCCGCCATCTCCTGCAGCAGGCGCAAGGAGCGAGGTGGGAGAGGGAGAGCGCAAAGCACGGGCGGCGACCGCGAGGCGTCGTTTCGGCCGACTTGCATCCTCTCGCTAGCTGTAGGAAGCGCAAGCTCGCCGTGCTCGGGAGAGCTTCACGAGTCGAGCGAGCCTGCCAACAGACATGTGCGAGCCGTGGCCATCTCCTCGATAAAGGCGAGCGGGCGACGCGCTCGCGCGAGCGGACGAGCCCTTGAAAGCTCTTGCGCCATCTTGCGAGGCACAGAGCGACACGCATGCTCTCGTCGACTCGGCGGGCGGCGCGAGAGCGACCAGCGCTTCGTTGCAGCTCCCCCTCACCCTCGCTCGAACCTCAACCCGCACTCGCCGCCGACGCGCTCCCGCTCCGACTCGCGCACCCGCAGCCGGCCCCCTGCTCGTGCGCGTGCTGCTTCTTCCTGATCCAGCTTGGCTCGGGCCCGTCCATGAACCGGTTCCGCCGCAGCGACGCGACGCCGCCGCGCGCGGCTGTCTTGACGCTCTCGCTGCGGGCGGCGACAGCGCGCACGAGCTTTCGGCGGTCGAGCGGGAGGGTCGCGGTGGGTGCAGGTACTGGCTCGATCGAAGGCTGAGGTCGAGAAGGACGAGTGGGGCGAGACGGGCGTGATGGGCCGGAGCGGGACGAGGATGGGGGAGGAGGGGGAGGAGCGCGAGGCAAGCGCAGGTCGACAGGGATGAGGGTCGCCTGCTGGGCGAGGCGCGACAGGTGCTCGGCTTGATGCTGCAGTGCGAGGTGTCGAGGCAGGCAACTGATCAGCTCGCCTCTCAAGCCGGACCTGGAGGAGGAGAGCGAACGGTCGGCGCACCTCGAGCTGGTCCCGGTACACCTCTCCTTGCACATGGAGCGCCAAGATGTCGTCGAGGGATGTTGCAGAGCGCGCCTTGTCAAAGTCGGATCTGCAGGCGAGCGCGAGAGGGTGTGGGAGGGTGTAGGGTCAGTGAACGAGGTACAGTGCGGTGAGACTGGCGGCTCTTCCACCTCCTGCGTCTCCGCCAGGCGGCACAGCGCCCTTAAGAATGTACTCGAGCACGCCCCATGCCGCCCGCATGCCCACTCCGTGCAACAATCGCTCATCAGTTGGCAGCACCGCGCTTGACGACCTCTCGACCATATCGACCCGCCCGATGCCAGTGACGCTCTCGAGGCCCATGCGAGAGAGATGAGAGGGGACGGACCGGACCTTGTTGAGGACAAAGGCGGTGCGGTGGTCGTCGGGCATGCGGCGGGCGGTGCGGAGGAGGGAGCGGTACAGAGCGCGAGAAGTGGCGCCAGCCGCGGCGAGGGTGGCCATGGGACCAGCTGTAGTTGCTCTGCGCTTGACTGAGCGGCAGCAGGGCCAGCTGGTGGGTCGGTGCGAGCGTGAGAGGGTGAGCCGCTCCGTCGGCCGGGCTCGCTCGCCTCGGCCCTCTCTCTCTCGCATCTCTGCGTCGAGCTCGAGCAGAAGCACGCTCGATCTGCTTGGCATCTCTATCCACGGCGCCTCGACCACCAACCAGCCCTTCACGCGCCCTCGTCGTCAAGCCCGCCCCGGTCGTCCGTCAACATCCACCCGAGCCTCGAGCCACCGCAACACACTCGCTCGCGTGCTCTACAACCTCTTGAGCTGGACTCTATGACGGCCACACCTAGTGCGTCGCCTCTGTCGAGCTCAGCACGAGCAGGATTGACCTCGTCCCTCCTCACTCAGCCATGCCCGTCGCGTGCATCATCGACACAGACCCGGGCGTCGACGACGTCCTCGCCATCCTCCTCGCCCTCGCCTCGCCCGACCTCCTCGTCCTGTCCATCACGCTCACCCACGGCAACTGCACCCTCGCCGCCGCGACCGCCAACCTCGAAAAGCTCTTCTGGGCCCTCGACAAGCAGCTCGCTGAGCGGCCCGACGAGCGCACGAGGTGGCACAACGTCGACCCAGAGTGGCGTTCGCGGTGGGGCGCCGGCCCGATCGAGGTGTACCTCGGCAGCGAGGGCCCCATCGAGGGCGAGCCCGTCACGGCAAAGTACTTTCACGGCAAGGTGCGCACCGAGTCTCTCTCTCTCTCCTTCCGCACAGCACGTCCTCGATGAACTCACGCCGACGCTCGCAGGACGGCCTCGGTGACTGCACGACTCGACACCCTGACCTCGTCCCCCCTCCCTCGCACGTGTCGACTCTCTTCACCCTCTCGCCCAAGCCCGCCCTCGACGGCGTCCAGTCGCTCCTCGCCCGACACGCTCCTCGGTCCATCGCCTACGTCGCCCTCGGCCCCATGACCTCGCTCGCGTACCTGCACCGCGCCGGCGCGACCGACGGCCACGAGGGCCGCACGAGCCCGCTCGACCAGTTCAGCGTCGTGCTCAGCATGGGCGGCGCCGTCGACCACCCGGGCAACACGTCGCCCGTCGCCGAGTTCAATTATTACGCCGACCCGTTCGCCGCCTCGGTCCTGTTCGCGCTCGCGCCCCCCAACCTCTACATCTTTCCCCTCGACCTCACGTCGTACCTCACCCTGCCCTTTTCGCTCTACATCTCGGCCGTCGACCCGTCTTTCTCCGACACGTCGTCGCCGTCGTCTCCGCAGGCCAAGGCGCCCCTGACGCACTTTACGTCGTCGTTCCTCGAGCGCACGCGCGAGGTCATGCTCCAGTTTGGGAGCGACGTCATGGAGCAGCACGATCCGACGGTCGTGTACGCGCTCATCGACTGGGCCAAGGCGAGGCGTGCGCGAGCGGGCGAGGGAGCGGTCGAGCTGGGCGAGGAGGAGGACAAGGGCGACGAGGGCGAGTTTGCGCCCGGGTGGGCGTTCCGGCGCGTCGAGTTCGAGGTCGAGACGTGCGTCCCGCTCTCTCTCTCTCTCGCTCTCTGTCACACACTCTGACCCTCGCTCTCTCGAGCGCCCGCAGCACGGGCAGCATCACGCGCGGCATGCTCGTGCGCGACTTGCGCGCCTCGTCGACCTCGTCGACGTCGCTCACGGCGCGCACGGGGCTCACGAACCGCGCCGCAGCGATCGAGGCGCTCGACGTCGAGGAGGTCGAGGCGCACCGGGCCGAGGGCGAGCTCAACGGCCAGCAGGCGGCCGAGGCGCACCGCGGGAGGAGCGGCGCGAGGGTCGTCGTGAGCTCGCCGGGCAGCGAGCCGCTCAGGAGGGATTTGCTAAAGAGCATTTGGGGCGTAGACGTAGCTGAATAGACCAGAGATAGACGTTTGCAAAGCAGTCGATCGTTTCAAGCGCGCCCTCCTCATCGTTCGACAAGCCCTCCTCGCCTTCTCTCCTCCTCGCCTGCTTCTCTCGCTCAGTCGTCCTTCTCCTTGGCCTTCCTGCCGCGCTTCTTGGGCTCGGGGCGCGGTCCCGCCGTCGGCGCCGGCTCGTCGTCCTCGTCGTACCGCTTGAGCGGGCGCTCGTACGGCATCTGCTCGTTGATCTGGTCCTTGAGGCCGGCCCAGGTCGCCGACGACGCGCAACGGTAGACGACCGAGACGTTGTGCTGCTGGACCTTGACCGACGGCGCCGGCTGCGACGCCGAGAACGAGTACTCGCCCCACGAGGCGGGCGTGCTGCGGCGCGAGCGAGGGCCTGTCAGTCACACGGCCCACGGCGAGAGGGAGAGAGATAGAGAGAGACAGCGGACGTACGGCGTGTGCGAGCCGACGAGGAGGAAGGCCTCGTACTGCGAGGGAGCGCTGCCGTCCTTGACGCAGTCGGCGCTCAGAGGCTGGTGGACAATGAGCATCATCTGCGGGCGCTTTGTCCTCGTCAGTTTGTCCAGTCGACGAGAGAGTGGGACGGAGAGAGAGAGGGGGGGGACGCACGTTGGCGTGGTTGAGGCGGCCGCTCTTCATGATCGCCTTGCGCAGGACCGACTTGCGCTGGTCGCTGCTCTTGAGCGCGCCGTACTCCTTCCCAAGCCACTCGACGTGGTACTGCTCCTCCTTGCTCTTGCCCGCCGCCTTGGCGAGCTCCACCTCGGTCGGGTACACGACGACGACCTTGTCGGCGTCCTTGGCCGACGGCATGTTCCACTGGGCGGCCGCGTGCTGGGCGCGCGCCGACTCCTGCTGCTCGTACTCGTGCGGCGGGACGCCCTGCGCCGCAGCGTGCAGGTGCTCGAGGAACTTGCGCGGCAGGCGGTCGGTCGTCGCCGTCTGCGAACGAGAGGAAAGGCGATTTGAGAAGGTCAGGGCTGAACGACGACGACGACGAGCACGAGAGGGAGCGAGACGAGGGCGCACCAGGTACTCGACCTTGACCTTGCAGCGAGCGTTCGGCTCGAGGTTGCTGATGGCGCGCGCCAGGCTGTCGAGCCCGCCCGCCTCGACGAGGCCGTCCTCGCTCGAAAAGTCGCCAGCGAGCGACGTGACGAGCTGGACCTCGTTGCTCGACGAGAAGTCGAACCCGCCGAACGCGTGGGCGAACGCGCTGTACTTGGCCTTGGCGGCGGCGCCGAGGCGAGGCGAGCTGAGGAAGGCGAGGAACGAGAGCGAAAAGTCGGTGTGCGTCGGGTTGTCGGCGGGGCTGACGGGAGCGGCGAGCTGCGGAAAGTCCTGGACCCAAATGGCGTTCTCGATCTTCTTCCAGCAGCCCTCGTCGCCGGTCGCGGTGCAGATGGCGAGGCGCAGGTGGTGGCGGCTGCTCGACGGCGTCTTGCGGACGATCTGCAAGGAGGAGGAGGGTCAGTGCGTGCCACGGCAACGGACGACGCAAAGGTGGACGCACCAGGAAGAAGGAGGCGTGCATGTTGCTCGAGAGGTGCGAAACGACTGGGTCCTTGACGTCGTGCGCGAACGGCGCCTTGTGGACGAGAAGCAGCGGCGGCTTGACCTGCGAGGCCTTGCGCGACTCGTGCGAGCCGTACAGGCGGATCTTCTGCGGCTTCGGGGGCTCGCTCGACTTGCGCGCCTTCTGCTTCTTGCGGGCGGTGGGCGTGTCCGGGTCGCGCGGCTTGGTCATGTGCTCGGTCGAGAAGCGGTTCTGCATCCAGGGTTGCTGGAACGACGGCGCGACGACCAGCGCGCGCACCGTGTCCCACCCGGCGTCGGTGCCGACGATGTTGTCGATACCGACCGGGTCGATGTCGTCGCCCGAGTCCGACGCGCTCGAGTCCGAGTCCGACGACGCCGACGAGTCGCTGCTGCTGCTGCGGCGCTTTTTCTTCTTGCCCTTGCCCTTGGGCCGGCCGCGCTTCTCCTTGACGTAGGTCGTCTTGAGGGTTTCCGAGTCGGGGTACTCGAGCTTGGCGCGCAGGTCGGCGATGCTGAGCGTGGGCGCGCCGTCCTTGCCGGCCTCGAGCGAGAACGGGAGGACGCCGTCGGGGCGACCCTTGTACGGGGCGACGTCGTCGCCGTCGACCGCTTGGGCTTTGCCCTTGCCCTTGCCCTTGCCCGTCGCGGTGCCGTTGCCGCTCGAGGTGAGGTCGAGGTGGGCCGGTGGGCGGTCTTCGACGCCGGTACCCTGGCCGCCGAACAGCTTGGAGCGAGGGGCGAGGAACGAGCTCTGGGCGGCCATGCGGGCGTGCAGGGGGACCTCCTGGCCATGGCCGGTGGCGGGCGAGGGTGAGCGGTCGCGGGCCTTGGAGCGACGGCGGGTCGACGAGGCGGCGGCGGCTGCGGGCTCGGGCGAGCTGGAGGCGTCGGACGCGCTGTCGAGGTGGGTGAGGTCGATCTCGGGGATGTGCTTGTGCTTCTTGGCCATGCTGGGTGGGCGCACGAGCGAGAACGAGCGAGGGGGAGGAGGAGAAAGGGCGGCGACTGATGAAGCCAACTTGAAGTGGGGAAATGCCGCTCGACCCCCCTCGTCGACTCGGCTCAGAAGCCTTCGCTGAGCCTTGAACACATTGCCTGAAGCAGTGCGAGCAGATCCATGCCGTCGGCGCCGCGGGAGAGCGCCTGCACGAGGAGCGAGAGCCGACCGAGTCGTCGCCGAGCGCGAGCAGAACCTCGCTCGCCTCCCTCAGCTTTGCACAGCCGGGCCAGCGTCGCGCAAGGGCGCCGGTCCTCGAGCCGAGCAGAACCTGGCCGGCCGCCGCAGAGCGGTCTGTCGCCGACGAGGGCAACTTCTCCTCGAGCAACTCGCAGCCTCTCGCTCTCGCCCTCGCCATGGGCCTCGCGCGAGAGTCGCGGTTGACGCGGTCGATTTTCAGGGGAGTATGCGATAGATGCTGAGGCAAGGTGGGTGACGAGAGAGAGAGAGAGAGAGGAGAAGGAGGGAGGGAGGAGGACGAGGGAGGCGCTAGACGAACGGGCGAGGCTCGACGGCCGTCGTCGGCGTCACGACGCACGACGAGGGGGAGAACGAGGAGAGGGTCGAGGGATGAGGGTATCGTTGAACGAGGTGGGGGTACGGCGGCGCGAGGTTGAACCGCGCCCGAGCGCTGTGAGCGGGTCGGACGGTGGGGAGGGCGAGGACGAGGGAGGGAGGGGAGGGGCAGAGGTGGATCGACCGGAGCTCAGAATGCTCTAGGGTGGTGGTGGTGCTGTACAGAACGCGCGAAAGGCCCGAGGAAGGAAGGAAAGGTACTGCTGAGGGACGCGGGAAGGACAGAAGGGAAGGGCTGCGACGGTGACGACGACGAGGTCAGTCTCGGGGCGCACGAGACATAGAGAGGACCGAGGGGCGCACCTCTACACTCTAGGAAAGCCGAGGAGCTCAGAAGTCGAGCTTGCGGACCTCCTCCCACTGCGCGCGAGAGAGAGACGAGGGTCAGGAATCGCTCGACGAGGCCCGGGCACGAGGACGAGAGCGACTCACGGGGACGTCGTTGCGGCCGAAGTGGCCACCGTGCGCCGTCTTGCCGTAGATGGGCTTCTGGAGGCCGAGGAGCTTGACGATCGCGCCGGGGCGGAGGTCGAAGTTCTTGAGGAGGATGGCCGTCAGGTCGGCGTCGGTCTTGCCCTCGGCGACCGTGCCGTACGAGTCGACAAAGATCGAGAGCGGCTCGGCGACACCGATAGCGTACGAGAGCTGCACCAGGACGCGCTCTGCGAGGTGGGCCGCGACGAGGGACTTGGCGAGCATGCGGGCAGTGTAGGCGGCCGAACGATCCACCTCTGTTCAGGGGAGAGAGTGAGGAGAGAAGAAGGAGAGCGGGAGGGAGAGGAGGGAGGAGGAGCGAGGTCAGGAACGGGCCGACGACGACGACGACGTCGAGGGGTAGGCGCGAGAGGACCAGACGACGCACTCGACCAGTCCTTGCCCGAGAAGGCGCCACCACCGTGCGCGCCCCAGCCGCCGTACGTGTCGACGATGATCTTGCGACCGGTGAGGCCGGCGTCGCCCTGCGGGCCACCGATGACGAAGCGGCCGGACGGCTGAATGTGGTAGACCGTCTTGTCGTTGAGGAGGTTGGCGGGGATGACCGACTTGACGACCTTCTCCATGAGCTCCGAGCGCAGGTCCTCGGTCGAGATTTCCTCGGCGTGCTGGGTCGAGATGACGACCGTGTCGACGCGCAGGGGCTTGACGGCGCCGTTGGGCAGCTTCTCGTACTCGACCGTGACCTGCGTCTTCGAGTCGGGGCGGAGCCAGCCGAGCTCGCCGTTGCGGCGGAGAGCCGACATCTTGACGTTGAGGCCGTGGGCGAGGACGAGGGTGAGGGGCATCATCTCGGGCGTCTCGTTGGTGGCGTAGCCGAACATGATCTGTGTCGTGGGCATGTCCGTCAGCTCTTGCGACAGAGAGAGAGAGAGAGAGGGGGGGGAGGGAGAGAGGGACGCACACCCTGGTCGCCGGCACCGTGGTTCTCGAGCGAGCCGTGGTCGAGGCCCTGGGCGATGTCGGGCGACTGCTGCTCGATGGCGACGAGGACGTTGCACGTCTTGTAGTCGAAGCCCTTCTCACTCGAGTCGTAGCCGATGCGCTTGATCGTGTCGCGAATGACCTTCTGGTAGTCGACGTGCGCCTTGGTCGAGATCTCGCCGAACACCATGATCATGCCGGTCTTGGCGGCCGTCTCGCAGGCAACCTGAAGAGGACGAGAGGAGTCAGGACGAGGTCACTCGGGGAGGGCAAGGGAGGGGAGCGAGTGCGCACCTTCGACCACGGGTCCTGCTCGAGGCACGCGTCGAGGATGGCGTCCGAGACCTGGTCGCAGATCTTGTCTGCGAGCGGGAAGACGAGACGAGTCAGTACAGGCTCGGCCGACGTCGTCGACTGCTCGACAGGCTGCGCGACCGGCTCCAGGCGCTCGCTCGTCCGCTCGCATTCGCCCGACGAGGTGCACCTTCCGCTCGACCGCCGCCCTGCACGGCGGATACCGAGCCATGCCCTCGAGAGCTCGCCGGCGCTCGACAGGGCGCGCGAGGCTCGAGTCGCTGCAGCGGGCGAGATGCCGGAGTGCCGGCGGCCGCGAGGGAGCACGCCATGCGGGGGACCGGGCGCCCTGCTCGCGCATACCGCTCGCGCGAATGCGAGAGCTGCGCTAGGGCATGCCGCAGTACTGCTGCCGCCGCCGAGCGGGCGCGCAATCCGGCGCGAGCTGCGGCGGGAGCGCGAGAACGCGACAAAGGAGGGGGAGGTGGGTCGAGGAGGGTGAACGAACCGGGGTGGCCCTCGCCGACGGACTCGGCTGCACAGGGAGGGAGGATAGGTCAGCTGGATTGCTCTGCAGGCTCGCGCAGGGCTCCAGAGGGGACGTACAGGTGAACAGGAAGGTGTTGGACATGATCGCTGCACGTGGAGCAAGACGGGGGGTCGGGTGGGACGACGAGGCGGCGGGGGGAGGTGCGAGGTGGACGGCAAGGTCAGTCAGACGCTGTGCGACAAGGTGGGCGGCGCAGATAGGACGCACGAGCAGAGGTGAGTGCGGTGGATGGAGCGAAAGGGTGGATGGCGCGAGCGGCCTGCGTCTCGCTCGCTGTGTCTCCGAGACGCGCGCCTTTTTTCCTCTCGCCCGCCTCGACCGCGGCCGCCGCTTGCTCCCCGTTGTGCTCTGCTCAACAAGGCCGTCGTCGTGCTCTCGTCGCCGCCAACAGCTGCCGCTTCGCCCTCGTCCGCGGACCTCGCTCGCACCTCTCCTCGACTCGCACTCGTCCGAGCTCACGCGGCCTTCTCAAGGCGACGTCGGCAGCGAGCAGTAGCGCAGCGCGTCGTTCGTGGACCTCTTGCTCTCGCTGCGCCGACCCCTTGAACCAGCTCGCCCCTGGGGAGGCCCTAGCCGACGGTGCTCTCGAGCCTCTCTCGCACTCCAGCTGTGCGAGCGACCTTCTGTTGCTCGCACTGCTACACGCTCGTCTCGATTCATCTACTTCGCACTCGACCTGCGCATGCTGCGTGCGACGAGGGAGGAGGAGCCGTCAGTCGTCGCGAGAGAGAGAGAGGAAGGCTGTCGAGGAAGGTCACGCACGAGGTCCGCTCACGGCTTGAACGCGCTTTGGCCATTGCCGCGCTCCTCAGGACGGCGAGCGGTCGGCTCGTACTCTGCGTGAGGTGCTGGGTCAGTTCATCGACGAAGAGGGGGCGCGAGAGATCGAGGCGACGCACCTGCAGAGGGAGTCGACGAGTGCCGCCTTTCCTTGCCCTTGCGGCGACTCGCCTCGTCGACAGTGCCGGTCAAGTCGCCTTGTCCGGGGCGCCGCCGGAGGATGTGAGAGCTGGAAGCTGTCGGCGAGTCGGGCCGGGGCTCGAGCGACGCCCAAGACGAGCGACAACTCTCGCCGTCGGCGTTCTTGTGGCGGCGGACCGTCTTGGGCGAAACAGCTGCAAGGTAGAGAGTCAGTTCGGCGAGGCAGGCGAGGAGAACGCGCGAGCTCGAGCGCACCGTCAAGGTCGTCCTGCCCGTCAACGGATCTGCGCGAGCCGTGACTCGTCGCCTCGTGCCAGCTCCACTGCTGGTCCGAGCCTGGCGCTCTCCCCCATTTGTCTGCGACCATGTACTCGTCACGCCTCGTGAGGAAGGAAGGAAAGGGCGAGATGGCGACGCACCGGGCTTGTTCTTCCGACGAAGCATGGCTTCCTCCGCCTCCTCGCGAGCCTGCTCCGCCTCCTTGCGAGCCTGCTCCGCCTCCGCGCGAGCCTGCTCCTCGGCCGCCTTTTTCTCCTTCTTTGCCTTCCGATGGAAGCGGCCGAGCATGGCGAGGCGGGGAGAGCGGGAGAGCGAGAGAGAGAGAGAGAGAGGCAGACCGAGACGAGCGAGGCGTCTGAGCTCGCACGAGAGCCAAGCAAGCGCCCTGGCGGTCGCTTGAGCGTACAGTACGAAGAGTACGAGAGTGCGCCGCAGATTTTTGAGCGTCACCAGCGACAGGAGAGTCGACGCTTGCCTCGGAGGAGAGGACGCGCGTGCGTCGGTGTCGAAGACGGACTCGAGCGCGACGAGCTCAAGAGGCTGCACGCGCGCTCGGTAGCCGCATCTCATGACGACTCGGGCAAGAAGCACCGATGGGCAGGCGCGGAAGTCGAGGCGCGGAGGGGAAGCGAGCGAGAGGAGGTCGACGAGGTGGCCACCCGCGCTATGCGAGGCAGCACAGGGGTGCGCAGTACCAAGAGGATCTGATGTGCGTGTACGAGCTGCAAGCGAGAGCCAGAGCGTTGTGGGGCGAGCGCTGACGAGGTGAACCTTGGCCGCCAGCTCGCCTTCGACCTCACCACAGCTCGTCGCCACCACTACGTCGAGCCAGCCTGTCGACCAGCCACAGACCACCCACTGCCTCGTATCCACCACCTGAGCCAGCGCACGCCCACCCTCGGCTCGACGTCGTCGCCCAGCCCCCGTCGTCCCCGCCGTCTTCATCAGTTGGACGACTTGGGGCTCTTGTCAGGGCACCAGAGCCACCGCGCGATGCAGTTCCCGCACGGCTCGTACCATCACCAGCCCGTGCAAGCCCTTCCCTCGTCCCCGTTCTCCCAGCCGCACCTCCTCTCGACTCCATCGCTCGCTCCTTCCGCCGTCACCCCCGCCGCGCACCACCACGCCGTCCCCTTCGGCGCCATTCCCGGCAGCCAGCCAGGCGTCCTCGGCTGGGGCGTCGGCATGAGCGCAGCCAACGGCGCCGGCTTTGGCTTCAGCCAGGGCGGCCTCGCTCGCCAATCCGCCCCGGCCGCGCACCGCCCTAGCTCGGTCGGCTGGGGCTCGGCGGCCGCAGCGTCGGGATCGGCGCAGCAGCGACCGGCGTCACCTTCGCCCTCGGCGCAGAACACGCCCGCCAACCCGCGCCGCAGGAGGAGGAGCGCGTCGCCCGGCATGTCGAGCGATGGCGACGACTCGAGCCGGGCCGCTCCCTCGCTGCGAGCCATCCGGCCCATGCAGTCGGCGAGCGCAAAGCGTGCTCGCAAAGGTCCGGCGCAGGGCGAGCCAGCGCCGAGCCCTGCGTCGGGCGCTGCCGTCGTCGGCGACCTGGGCAAAGCTCTCGGTCCGTCCCGTTCTGCCTTGAACAAGTCTCTCGCACGGCCACTCACTGACCCTTGCCCACTGCCACACAGCGTCACTCGACAAACCTGCGCTCCTCAACGTCTTCTCCCGCCTCCTGTCGACCAACCCGCAACTCGCGTCGACCATCTCGGCCCTCCTCCCGACGCCCTCCCTTTCGACCATCCTCGACTCGCTCGCCTCGCTCGAGCGCGCCGTCGTCGTCGCGACGCCGTCGGGCGCCTTCTCGCGCGACGAGTACATCTGGTCGCGCGTGCGCGTCCCGCTCGAGGAGTTCGTCACCGAGTCGAAGCGGTTCCTCGGCCTGTTCGTCCCGGCGCAGGCGCCGACGGGCCCGATCGCCGAGGAGGACCTCGCGCACCCGTCGACGGCATTCCAGTTCCTCGACACCCTCACGCACACCCTCCTCCACCTCGAGGCGACCCTTCCCGCCTCGCCCTCGTCGTCGTCGACCCCGTCCACCGCCGCGGCGACGACCAACCCGCTCGCGTCGCACCTTGTCCCGCTCACGCTCAACGCGTGGCATCAGTTCCTGTCGCGCCTGTCGAGCGCCGTCAACGACCAGGGCAAGGTCCTCCCGACGTCGACCGTCCGCACCTGGTTCGACCGCCTCGACGACGCGTGCGGCGCCGGGCCCGTCGCCGCCACCGCCGCCTTCCCGTCCCTGTTTGGCGCGCCTCGTGCAGGCGCTCTGGGTGCGGCGAGGGGCGAGAGCCAGGTCCGGCGCGCGATGGAAGGCGTGAGGGAGCGTGCGAGGCGCGAGATTGGGTGGCTTGTCGGGCTCAGGCCCGAGGTCGCGCAGGGGGCGGGAGGGATGGAGGGGGTCGAGCAGGAGGAGGAGCTTTGAGTCGAGCTTGCGCTTGTCGCCGTCGTCGTTCGTGTCCTGTCCTTCCCCTCCTCTGCCCTTTGTCCCTCCCTCTCGTTCTTCTCGCACCTTGCATTCCCCTCCCGACCTTTGACTACCCCCTCGTACCGTCTCTCTCTCGTTCTCTTGCACCGCTTTGGTTCCCTTCGTACTGCATTTCAAGCCTCTCGTTCTCTGCCTTCCTCTCGCGAGCTCGCACGCTCCTCGAGATGCTGCGGCAAGTCGATGCTTTCCTGAACTTCCTCCTGCGCTCTCGACGGGGCAAGCATCGACAGGGTGCCAGCCAGGTTGCAGGACTCGTCGCTACCTGTTGCTCCTCTGTGCCCGGTGCGGGCTGCGGCTCCTCGGCCGCCTCGGCTCGTCCCTCCTCAATCCGCCGCCGCTCCCGCCGCGCTCGTACCCTCGCCGGTCGTCGCCATCTCGCTCGTACCCACCTCGCTCGTACCCACCTCGCTCGTCCCCTCGTCGCCTGTCCCGTCCGCCGTCGTCCGCTCGGTACCGCTCGTCGTCCCGCCTCGAGCCTCCTCCAGACCCATCGCCGCGCCGGTCGCGCTGATCCCGCGCCCTCGAGTCGACGTCGGTGAGGTCGAACACCATCTCGCCGTGTCCGCCTCGCACCTGGTGGGAGTACCGCGACGAGCCGTAGTCCTTGCTCCCGCCTCCTCCTCGACCGCCCGAACCGCTGCCGGCGCCGTAGCTGCGCGAGTCGCGCGAATCGCGCGATGACGAGGGAGGGTACGGGCGAGACGAGGACGGGTTGGGGCGGTTCGAGCGGTTGGGCGGCGCGCGGCCGCCGGTACGCTGAAACACCCACGAGTTGTGCAGCTTGTCGACGGACTGCAGACGGGTCGAGCGCGGTGAGCGGCGGTTCCGGGCTCGTTGGTGACACACCGAGAGAGAAAGGGAGAGGGACGCACCTGCGAGAAGTCGACGTGGATGCGCCGGTCGTCGACGAGGACGTTGTCCATCTTGAGGTAGGCGCGCTCGGCGTCCTCGCGCTCCTGGAACTCGATAAAGGCGTACTGGAGCGAGTCGCCCGTCTTCTGGTCGCGCACAATCTCGCAGCTCAGGATCTTGCCGAACCGGCTAAAGATGAGCTCGAGGTCCTCGGACGTCGTGACGGCGTTGAGCTTGCACACGAACAGGACGTTCTCTGGCGGCGCGACGTCGGCAAAGGGCAGGTCGCCGACCATCTCGAGCGTTAGGGCTTGAGCGCGCGCATCGCGCTCGCGCCGCTTGGCCTCGAGCTCCTCGGGGTCGCCTTGCTCCTCGAGCTCTTCCTCGTCGCCAACGCGCAGGGACGCGAGCTGCTTGGCCGTCGGGACGGGCGAGTTGGGCGGCACCTCGAGACCCTCGGGGTCGTCAAAGGGGTCGTCTGTGACAAAAGGTTGCGGGTGAGTCGGGTACGAGGAAGGAGAGGCCGAGGGAAAGAGGGAGGGGGACGGACCGAGGACGATGACATGGCGGATCCGGATGTCGCGCAAGGGGCGGCCCTCCTGGTCGCACAGGGCCTCGTTGATCTTGGCGAGCGTGTCCTCGCCCTCGATGACGCGGCCGAACGGGGCGTGCTTGCCGTCGAGGTAGTCGAGGCCGTCCTTGAGCGTGAAGAAGAACTGACTGCCGCAGCCGCGCTTGTCGCCCTCGCCGGCGATGGCCATGCTCAGGGTGCCGAAAGCCGTGTGCTTGAGCTTTGGCGACACGTCGGGGACAAAGTAGGGCGTCGACTGGTAGGCGGGCGACGAGCGCGGCAAGAGGTGGAAGATGGACGAGCCGCCGTTGCCCGTGTCGGTCGGGTCGCCCGTCTGGGCGACAAAGTCCTGGATGACGTTGTGGAAGGCGCAGAAGTTGAACTTGAAGGCCTTGCACAGCTTGAGGAAGTTGAGCGACAGGATCGGACACTGCTCCGTCTCGAGGTCGACCTGGGAGGGGCTGAGAGTCAGGTCGGCTCGCGTGCGGGAGACAGAGCGAGCCACGCACGATGATGTCGCCGACCGACGTCTCGAACAGGACCGACTGTAGCGTGCGAGGGAGGGAGAGAGAGGGTGAGTGGCCGACCCCACCTGGTCCGGGGGAGGGGGGAAGAGAGAGGACGCACCATGATGGGGACGAGCCAGGGGCTTTTCGAGGTAGCTGCTGAGCTGTTCTGCTGGACGCACAAGCAGGCACGAGCTGTGTGCGGTGGTGGCGGAGCGAGAGCGTCGAGGTCGGCTGGACGACGCAGCTCGCTCGCTCTGTGCACCGCTCCTGTCGTGCAAGGCTATCCAGACCAGCTCTAGAGCTGCTACAAGCGTCCTCAACCGGTGCGTCCACTCCTCTCGTCCCTTGTGGGCCCCTGCTCACCCTCCTCCCCTCATCACGCCGTCTTCATCTCCTCGGCACTCTCCCTCGACACCACTCCACCCGGTCGACTGTTCGCGGATACCAGCACCGTCCAAACACCTGTCCCAGTGCCCACGCCTTTCTCGCAGATCGGCATCCACCCCTGCGCTCCCCTCTCCTTCGACCCGTCCTCCGCCTTCGCTCAACCCTCGACCACACCTCGCCTGAGCCGTCATGGGTATCCTCGAGAAGATCCAGGACATCGAGCTCGAGGTGCGTCCCCAATTCCCGGTCCGCGAGCGCGTTCCCGCGACGCCCTGCCCCACCTCGCTTCGCACCCGTTCGCCAGTTTCGCAGGCAGCTGACCCACCTGTGTCGTCCTGCACGCAGATCTCGCGCACGCAGAAGAACAAGTGAGTCGGCTGCTTTCCTCATTGCGCCGATTCCTGTCACTGACCGCCTTGATCCCCTCCCTCTCCCTTCCTCCTCGCACCTTCTCCTCGCCGGCTTCTCGCTCCTCTTCTTTTTCCTCCTCCTTCTCGTTTCAGAGCGACCAACTACCACTTGGTGCGTCACCGCCGTTCTCTTATCGTCCACCTCCCCTTCCCCTTCCTCTTCCCCGCTCCCTTGCCTTCCTACGACGACCCGCACGACGTCGAATGCTCTCGGCACCCTCCCTCGCCCTTGTCGCACGAACACGGAAAACGACAAGAGCATATCGCTGACTCCTACCTCCCTGAACTCGCAGGGACTGGCACGTCACTCGCTCTCGTTCTCTCGATACCTCGAGCGGTCCTGACCCTTGCCTCCTCCTCCTTCACGCCCGCCGATCGCCTCGCCTCTCGTCCCGCCCTGACCGACGTCATCGACCGCGAGTAGCTCAAGGGAAAGGTCCGTCCCCTCCCGTTCGCCTTCTCGACGAGGAACCGCCGACTGACCCGTCCTCTCCGCCCGCAGCTCGCCCGGTATCGCGCCGAGCTCCTCGAGGGCAGCACGGCAAAAGGTGGCAAGGCGGGAGAAGGGTTCGACGTCTCCAAGTCGGGCTACGGCCGCGCCGTCCTGATCGGGTTCCCGTCGGTCGGCAAGTCGACGCTCTTGAGCAAGGTGACCAAGACGGAGAGTGCGGCGGCGGCGTACGCGTTCACGACGCTCGTCGCGGTTCCTGGCGGTGCGTCCCTTCTCTCTTTGCCGTCGCGCCCTGTCCGAGCGACCGTCGCTCACCCTTTCCCTCCCTCGCGCAGTCATGGACATCGAGGGCGCCCAGATTCAGCGTGCGTCCCTACCCTCACAACCCCCTTCCCCACCCGCTCGACTCTGAGACGATCCAATGCGCAGTCCTCGACTTGCCAGGAATCATCGAGGGCGCGGCGAGTGGTCGTGGTCGTGGTCGGCAGGTCGTCGCGGTGGCAAAGGTGCGTCTCTCTCTCTCTCTTCCTCTCGCCACAGCGAGCTTTACTGACGGGCGTCGGCCCTGCACACAGACGGCAGATCTTGTGGTGGTAGGTCTTTGAGGCGGTCCTCGTCGAGCCGTTCAGGACCCTGACCAACCCTCCCCTTTTCACCCGCAGATGATGCTCGACGTGACCAAGTGCGTCCTCGTTGTCTCTCTCTTTGCCTTCAGCAACCTCGCCTGACCATCTCTACCTCTCGCAGGGGCGATGAGCAGCGACAGCAGCTCGAGCACGAGCTCGAGGAGATTGGCATCCGGCTCAACCGCACGGCGCCCGACCTCGTCTTCAAGCCCAAGACGGCCGGCGGCATCACGATCAACTCGACGGTGCCGTTGACTCGGACCGACGAGAGGACGATCCGGGGCATCCTGCAGAGCTACAAGGTGCGCCTCGGGTGTTCCTCCTCGTCCTCCTGGCCTCGGACGCGAGACTGACCTCGTCTTGGGCCTCCAGATGCACAACGCCGACGTCATGATCCGCGAGGACGTCACGACCGACGACGTGATCGACGCCATCCTCGGCAACCGCAAATACGTGCCCTGCCTGTGCGTCTCTGCTCCTTTCTACCAGCGCGCGAGGGACCCGGCCTGACTCTTTCTCGCCTCGCACGACAGCTACGTCTACAACAAGATCGACTCGATCTCGCTCGAGGGTGAGCCTCCCGTTCTCTCGCCGACTCTTGGACCTTTTGCGGCTCGGCCCGCCCGCTCGGACCTCGCGCTCACGTTCGTCCCTCCCTTCCTTGGACCTCTCCTCCCTCGTCCTCGTCCTGTACCCGCCACCTGCAGAGGTCGACCGCATCGCCCGTCAGCCCTACACGGTCGTCATCTCGTGCGAGCTCGACCTGAATCTCGACGTGCTCAAGAAGCGCATGTGGCAGGTGTGTCCTCCTCTCCCTTTCTCTCCCTCCTTCCTCGTGTGCGCCCACCCTCATACATGGTGGCCCTGCAGGCGATGGGCTTCAACCGCATCTACACCAAGAAGCGCGGCGAGGCGCCCGACCTCGGCGACCCGCTCGTGATCAAGACGGACGCGACCATGGAGGCCATTGTGCGCCTGCTCCCGCTCTCTCCCTCTCTGTGCCTCTGCCGGGTCGGTCTCCTCACGCCTCGGCTCTACTTCACCTACAGTGCGACTCGATCCACAAGAACATCCGCCACAAGTTCAAGTACGCGATCGTGCGTCCCTCTCTTCCTCCTCTCGCCCGGTCTTGCCCAGCGGTCGCTCACCCCTCGTCGCCCTCTTTCGCGCAGGTCTGGGGCAAGTCGTCCAAGTTTGCGCCGCAGCCGCAAAAGGTCGGCATGACGCACCGGTGCGCGCAAGACGACGGTGCGCCTTCTCTCTCTCTCTCTCCCTCCCCTTCCTCGCACTCGACACTCTGTCGGCCGTACTGACTTGCCTCGGTCCGTCTCGCAGTCATCTCGATTGTCACGAAGGTCTAGTTGCGCAGACTGCAACAGCCTGGCGCGACGCACGAGCTGTGCGAGAAGGGCGAGAGCTGCCGACGAGCGAGGAGAGCGAGAGGAAAGATAACGACCCGGCGCGACCCGAGGCTCTCGAGAGCGCCTCTTGAGCACAGCCTGAGCGTATTGCGCGCAACCAACCGTGCTCTCGAGAGGCGCTGCGAGCTCGCGACCTCGTCGTCGCCACGGTCGAGTCTCGCTGGCTCTCGCCTCGCCCACCTCGCTCGCTGGATGCGAGCAGCCGCTACCCAGGGCTATCATCCGCATCTGCTGCAGCGCCCAGCATGGCGCAGCCTTGCCCGACACCGTGCTTCGCCCGCCGTCGCCCTTCAACCTCCTCGCCTTCATCAGCGAACCTTCCGCTCGACCACACCCGCCCGCCTGTTCGGCCTGCGCCTGCCTGAGCCCTCGAACGAGCCTCTCGCCGGCACCGGTGGAGACGCGAGCGGTCCACCCTGGCTCTTCCTCGCCGAGGTCCTCGTCGGCCTCCCCGCCGCCCTGTGGGCTTACAAGGTGCGCCCGAATCCAGCCTCTCTTGGTCTGCAGCCGGGACGGGACTGACTCCTGGACACCGCGCAGTGCCTCATGCTCGTCGTATTTCAGCGCCGCATCATCTACCTCCCGTCCGTCCCTCCCGGCACTCGCGACGAGTCGCTCGACGACGGCGAGCGCACGTCGGCACGAGACGCGTCGCTCGGCGGCCTCGCGTGGCGACAAGTGTCGGTCCGGAGCGACGAGCCGACGAGGTGGCTGCGGCGCCCTGTCGAGCTGCGCGGCGTCGAGATGAGCTGGAATGAGGGCGCTGGGTCGGTGACGGCGGCGACGGCGACGGCTCGACGGCAAAAGATCGTGGTCGTCTACCTCCAGGGTGCGTCTCCCATGTTCTGTCGCCCGAACTGGCGAACACGGCGCTTACCTCTGTCCTCGCAGGCAACGCCGGCACGCCCCTCCTCCGCATCCCCCTCTTCCGATCCCTCCTTCGCGACACGACGCCCACAACGTCCTCGACGACCTCGCTCCCCACCCGTCCACACGTCACACTGCTCGCCGTTGCCCCACGCACGTTCTGGCGCTCGATACGCTCGACCCCGACCGAGCGCTCAGTCCTCGCCGACTATACCGCCGCTCTCGCGCACGCCTACGCCGAGCACGGCCCGTCGGCGCGGTACATCCTGTATGGGCACTCGCTCGGCGGCGCGGCGGCTGTCCTCCTCCTTCGACAACTCGGCCAGGCGCCATTCACGTCGTCTGTCGGCGCCGTCGACTCGCTCGTCGCCCCTCCTGTACCCTCTACGTCGCCGCAACCGAGCCCTGTCGCGCACCTCCCGCCGATCTCGGGCCTCATCCTCGAGAACCCGCTCCCCTCGATACCGCACATGGTCCGCGCGCTGTACCCGCAGCGGTGGCTCCCCTACCACTATCTCGGCCCTTTCGCGTTCGACAAGTGGGACGCTCTCGGCCGGCTCGAGCGCCTCTCGCCGTCCAGCTCGACGAGCTCGTCGGTCGAGAGCCCGCCGAGGAGCCTGTGGATCCGCAGCGAACGCGACGAGATCATGCCCGGCGGCGAGGACGACGGCGTGCGGCGCATGTACGCCGCTTGGGTGCGAGCGACCGAGCAGGAGCGGGAGCGAGCAGGAGCTGGGAGCGAGGAGCTGGGCGCGGCGGCGGGCGACGAGGACCGGTCGGTGCGCAGCAGGTGGGTCGAGGTGGCGGGAGCGCTGCACGACACGGCGTATCTCGAGCGGCGGTGGCGAGACGAGATCCAGTCTTTCCTCGCCGAGGTGGCGTCTGCAACGCACGACGAGCGTCGACGTTGAGCGGACTTTGGCGTTCGGCCGCTCTCTCTCGGAGCTGCGAGGAAAGCCGCTGCGATCGGCGGACGCTCGCCGAAGCCGAAGCCGTGTCGGCCCCCTCCTCTGAGCCAACCATGCGGGCTGCAAGCGAAAGAGAGCGAGCGGCGAGTTTGTGGGAGCCGAACTCGAAAGGTGTCGATCCTCGTACTCGAGACCGAGATGCTCGATTGCTCGATGCGTGCGTATCCGACGCTGGCCGGCCTCGGTCCCGGTTCAAGCTCCGGTCGGACTTGATCGAGATGGCGTCTACGTCAGCGGCGTCGTCGTTGCTTCCTGCAAGGTTCGAGCGAGCGGCTGTCGACGACGCAGGTGCGACTTGGGAAGGCTGCGCACGAGCCTCCGCTCGGCGCGTCGTCAAGGCTCGCTCGTACATAGCAGACGCTGAAGCTCGCCCGATGCAGGCGCGAGGCCGGGCGGGCACTTGCACGCTCGAGGTTCGGCCTCGACGACAAGGTGCGGGTGCCGTCACCGGGCTCGAATCGCTTGTCTCGACCGTGCGAGCCGAACGCGGCCTCGAGTCGCTCATCATCGACGTTGCGCCTGCGGTCCCGCTTTCTCGCTGGGTTCGGCTCAACACGCGCGGCAATTTTAGCGTCGCAGCCGACCCCGAGATGCGCAACGGGGTCGCATGACGCTGGACGAGGCGCTCCCGCTCCTCGACCTTGCCCTCGCCCTCCTCTTGCTCTCTCTCCTCTTACTCCTGCGCTCAGCTTTCTCCACGCATCTCTAGCGAGCTCGTCTATCGACATGGACGCCATTCTCTCCAAGCGCAATGAGGTCCTCAGCTTGAACCCGGTGCGTCCTCCCCTTCCCACGGCGATCCCTCGAATTCGCCTGACCCGACCGTTCTTTCCTGCAGCTCGTCGCCAACATCGACATCACGACGGCCGCGTCCGACTGGCTGTGGGCCGTTTTCGCCGTCATGGGCCTGTCCGCCATCATCCTCCTCGTCCTCGGCCACGCTACTCGCCCGATCGGCGAGCGCGCCTTCCACGAGCTCGCCGCCGCGCTCTGCTTCACTGCGTCCATCGCCTAGTACGTCGTCCTCGACGAACCCCTCACGCAAAGAACGAGCGCTAACCTGTCGTTTCTCCCCCTTCCCGCGCAGCTACTCGATGGCTTCGGACCTTGGCGCGACCCCCATCGAGGTCGAGTTCATCCGCGGCGGCACGCTCGGCCAGAACTGGGTCGACATTGGCGTCCTCCGCCCTACCCGTTCGATCTGGTATGCGCGCTACATCGACTGGACCATCACCACGCCGCTCCTCCTCCTCGAGCTCGCCCTCACGACGGCGCTCCCGCTCAGCCAGATCTTCGGCCTCGTCTTCTTCGGTGAGTCCCTTCGACTATCTCGAGTGCGCCGACGGACGATCACGCATCGTCGTCGTCGTGGGCGAGGTCTCGAGAGACCTCCTCTCGCTGACCTCCTCCTCCTCCCTCTCCCTCTGCAGACATCGTCATGATCATCACGGGCCTGCTCGGCGCTCTCACTGCGTCGCGCTACAAGTGGGGCTTCTTCGTCTTTGTACGTCAAGGTCCTTTCGTCGTCGTCGCCGTCGAGCGCGCACTGACCTCCCGGTCGTCCCGACCTCTTTCTCGCGCGCAGGGTTGCGTCGCCATGTTCTGGATCTTCTGGGTCCTCTTCTTCCCTGCTCGCAAGTCGGCCTCGCACCTCGGGACCGACTACCACCGCGCGTACACCTCGTCGGCCATCGTGCTTTGCACTCTGTGGACCGTCTACCCAATTATTTGGGGTGTGTGCGATGGCGGCAACGTCATTACGCCTACTTCGGAGATGGTCGCCTGTGAGTCGTCCTGCACGATTTGGGGGTTCCTGGAGGGTCCTCGGGCCGCTGGAACGGCCTTTTTGGCCGTCCTGCAGGCTCCGGGTTCCCTCCCTCCCTTTCTCGACCCTGACTGACTCTCTCCTCTCCCTCCTTCGTGCAGACGGTGTCCTCGACCTTCTCGCCAAGCCCGTCTTCTCGTTCTGGCACGTGTTCCAGCTGTCGCGCCTCGACTACGCCCGCCTCGGCATGGTGCGTCTCGAGCTCTCCCTCCTCTCCCTCCTACTCCCTCGCCGAACTGACTGGGAATCGTTCTACACACACAGTCGTCGTCCAAGGTCTCTGACGGCGCGCACCAGGGCCTCCTCAAGCCCGACCAGGGCCCGGCCTCGGCTACTGCGACGCCTCGCCCCTCGAACGCCGTCGTCGGCGACGGCACCGGCTTCCACCGCACCGGCGCGGCCAACACCGACAACGCCGTCTAATCGCGCGTCCGCCAGGGCCCTCACGTTGTCGAGCGGTCCGAGCGGCTCGACCTTCCCCCCAAGTCGAGCTCTCTTCCCTAGTCCTGACTTACGTCCGTTTGCAATGCTAGACTTCCAGTAAATC